AACATGGTCAAAATCAAGGTTTATTTCAAGGCTGCGCATTGTTGCGTTTCATGTAGTAATATTCCATGTCTAGAAATAATGGCGCGAAACACTGTGTCTCCATTATGTTCCATGATAAGCAAAAGGACCAACGATTGTATTATTCCTCACAGTGTTTGATGCACTTGAAAGTCACCCGATTGAACCGGTATGAACCCGATAGATCTGGTGCGAACTTATTAATTGAAACGGGCCCTAACTATTGCGAAAATGTTCAAGTTGCGGTTGAGGTTCGGTAAACAAACTTTTTAGTAAAACTTTTTGGTAAAACTTACGTGCAACAGCGAACACTGTTGCGTGGCTCTACCATAAAACTTTGACGGGTTTCACCTTCGATGCCGTTTACGTGACAGGTAATGAACTTGTCGTTGGACGGCAACGATAAATGAAAGAAAATTGAGTTGGCACGTGCCATAATTTCGTAAAGGGCTGTGATAGCTTACTGTCCGGGCGCTCGCCTTCATTCGAGCAATCTCAGTTCGATCCCCGATGCCAGCACCAACGAAATTGTTAATTTTAAGTGCTGACTTATCACTTGAGACATTCATATTTTAGAAATAATAACAATAAAAATGTTTCGAAGTGAAGTCCGCCAATCCGCAGTGGGGTCGCGTGGTGGACTATGCCCTGATACCCTATTTACAGAGGAGGCCTTTGCCCAGTAGTGTGAAATTAATAGTTACTTGACTTTTAACTATACTATACTTTTCTTTTGTAAATAAATCTTATCATTTAAATGAGCAATTCTTATATATATAATCGGAATCTCGGACACGGCTCCAGCGATTTTCATGAAATTAAGTATTTGCGTAGGTTCGGGGGCGAAAAATGGGTTTGGCTAGGTTTCATTTTTAGAAAATGTTAAAAAACATTTTCTAAAAATGAAACCTATTTTTTAGGGAATGAAAAATATCATTCAAATATGACGCTAAATTTCACCGAAATATGTCATAATAGCTTAGTCGGGCGGCCCCGAATCAGAAGGCCGTGGTTCGTGTCACGATCATTTCCACACTTTTTTTTAAATTTTTTTTCGATTCCAGATCATTGCTTTCTTTATTTTTTTATTTTTGTCGATCCAGATGATTTTGTTCTTTTTTCCCCTTTTTTTAAAGTTCTTTCTTTTGTGAAAAACACCAGCTCATATTTTCTTATCATTACGTCGATAAGATCGAAAAATATTATGCATATTTCATTACTCAATATTTGTATCTAAATGTAATTTCCAAAGTACACGATTTACCAAAAAAAAAAAAACAAACAAACCGATATTACGCATACATATTATATATATACATATTATACGCATAGAAACACCCAGGAACGGGAGAAACAAAATCTTCACAAAATGTTTTTACACTATTGGGGATTGAAACCACACCCTCTGGCGCAAGACGCCGGTTCACTACCCACTACGCCAATCGGGTCCTGCTTCCTAGGTTTTGGTGACAAGTTCAACGTTGCCACGGAATGAAATTCTAGGTGAAACAAAAAGGTACGATCTCGCACGCATACAACCCATCCGTGGCGCTCGAAAATCTAGAAACGCGACTAACGCATCTCAAACATTTATCTTTAACTTATCACGTCAAGAAATGAAATTATCTTAACAATACCCGCCATTGTAAAATATTATTGCGGAATACTTTTATCTCACACGTGAAATAAAAGAAAAATGTTGGCAGGTTGTAAAACAATAATTTTTCGATTACTCACACACACACACACACACACACACAGACAAATATTCTTCTCTTTAATGTGATAGTGTGTAGGAGCTGGTGATTCGCTTGATGTTAAGTGATTACCACCACAAGTTGCAGTTTAAATACTAATCTATGAGGGATTTTTATTAGGCTTCCTCTATTTATGATAACTCCTCATATAAGTTTTGTTGACATTTGCCATGCGTTATTAACGCTACGTTAGGAACAGATCTTCCATCTTACTGTAATAATCACCGCGTCGCCAATTCAGACAGTATGCGTGAAATGTCCAAACCACTGCATGCATTAAGACACGATAATCTACTGTATTATGTTATGAATTGCGCCGCGTTCAAAATAAGATAAAATGAAATTCCCTCCAGCAAACAACATTAATTATTATGATTGAGACATTGAGAGTATACCAAGACTAAGTAATATCGGTGAAGAAATTAATTTCCAAGCCTTATTATGTATTAGAACCTGTATTGAATACTTTTATTTTATTTTTATGTGTCTGAATTAAAAATTAGTAGTTGCAAGGTCAATACAGCATATCATAACATCTTTACTTCTTTAGGCAGGAATTAAAATGCGAGGAGGTTTGCAAGGATGCTGCTAGTCTCAGCACACTTCTTAGAATAAATTTTCGGACATTTTTAGTAATAATGGGAATAAAATTTAGTTCTACTGCAAATTTAATTACTTATGAACATATTAGTAAAAGGGTTTTAAAATGATAAATAGTTAAATCAATACTTGAAAAGCAAATTTGTGGTGTATTTATATCTTATACATAACATATAAATAATGCGTATTGTCATGCATGCATAATGCATATAAAAAAACGTTTAGAGCAACATTAGGTTACTCGATCTATAGAATAGTTTAATGCAACAATTGTTTGGTATTCGAGAAAATTCGAGAACACTTTAACAATTTTCACTTATCACCAATCTTACACCACAACGTTTATGGCAAAGTGCTTATAATATGAAATTGCAAATTTTTCCAAGGAAAAAGCATTGAAAAGTACAGTAATATAATTATCTCCGTGTGCTTCCCAGTTGTTATGATGAAAATGTAATACACGTGTGACATTTTGATGCGAGAAATATAAGGAACAAGGTGTCGCAGTCGTCAATCGTTTGGTTTTATTAAAGGTTGGCGAACGTGTGTCTGGTATTCTTGACGCTTGGCTACCATCGAAGCTAATGGTAAGTGATTGACGATCTAACTCAGCAAAAGCCTAACCACGATAGACATTCAGTGGCATTTAATTTTAATTAATTTCCAATGTTGATCTGAAAATGGAAAATAGCGGCGCTATTGTCTTATTCTAGCCTTTACGGGCCACTTTGTATATGTAGTAACGGATATTTTAAAGAATCTAAGTTTCCTGTGCGTGATTTCAGTGTACAAGCCAAGAAACATAGTTTAATTACTATATAAAGAATAGATTAGTTAGACAATCTACGGACCTTAAACATTTTTTTTGGAAGGAGTAAATTAAAGTAAGACCTTTACTCTACTCCTTCTCTACATAAACTATAAGTGTTGGGATATTTCATACTCCTGCGTCCGCGAAATTTCGTAAAAAGCGGTACAAAGTTTTTGCTTCAGGTATTAATATATAGATAAATTCATCAACAGCATAATATGTTATAAAATTTATTTGTTCTTAGCTATAGGGCTAATTCTTATACACTTTTTATAACAGGTATACGTAACATTGCCTTTATTATGAACATTGGACCTTATTTGTTATAATGTCAATTTTGCTTTTCACATCCTTATTTTAGGAGATTCTGAAACCTTGCAAAAGCGATGAGAAGGGTTGCTTCTTACTAGAAGTGGACGATACAAATCGTATCAGATATGAAAACTATATTGTGGTACAATATCGGAAAATCGCTTACTGGCTCGTTCAAAATCTATGAATTTTACAATATCTGATATTTCCGAAATCTGATGTACCGAATACTCGCTCACTCGCTATATCAACACGAATCGCGATATCATACGCGTTTGCCACAATATCAGATTTTTAGATAAAGCGCGTGAGATACAAAAATTACATTAGTTAAAGCAGTACGGCAACAATATCAGATTTTAAACAGATTTTTTTTTTTTTTTTAGCCTTGACCTGTAGTGCATTGATATTTAAGCACGTACGTAGGAAGGGATGCCAACTTAGGAATTTTCTTCCTAAATAATGAAAGAAAAATTTTTAGGAGTTAACTTTTATTCACATTTTTGAAAAAAAAAAAAAAAAATAAAACTACACAAATCGAAAAAGAAAAATATAATTTAATAATTCCGTGCTGCTATGGTGGACGTCAGGCCAAGGCTTATGTGTCTTGTGTGTATATTTTAAATTCTTCCGCCCTATATTATAATATTGAATGTAATATTTTTTACACAAAATATAAAAATGTTGTCACTCATTTTTTTATAAATTTAAGGTGGATACGCGAACGTAAAATATCTAGATATTAAAATACATAGTTTCGAAATCTGATATTTGAAATCGAAATCTGATTCAGATACGGTACTCAGAAAAAGCGATACGACCCATCTCTACTTCTTACTCTTTGAAAAATGTATATTTTAATACAGTGAATATTCAGCCGTTAAAAAAAAACTTTAAATACCTTTCTCTGTTGAAGTGCACAAAAACACATAATTTCTATAACATCTAATGTGATGCCAGCAGATAAACGGTGTGTTAGTCCGAGCCAAATGTAAAAAATAAATCAACTTAGCGGCCAAATCGATCATGGCTGAGGAAGAAGCAGACAATAATCGATTTAGGATTTATTTAACAATTAATGGCAGTATAATACTTTAGTATAATTTAAGAATAAACGCAAAAATCGAGAGCGTTTGGAACCACGGTGTCTACAGAGAATTAAGAAATTATTAATATTTCGCAAATTTATTAAAACAAATGATTTATTATAAATTCAGTATTATTTATGAAGTTTAATTAAGTCAAAAGTTACAGTTACAGTTACATATTATATTTTAAATAAAATAGTAGAGATTCCTCACTTATCCTGGAGTCATTTACTGTAAACGCAGAACAAATTTAATAAATTGTTCGTACAGCGTTCGTTAATAGGAAACGATGCCATGTGCTAAAGCGATTTGTTCCAGTTAAATAGTCATAAATTTAAACATAACCTTTTTGGTAATTTAATTCACAGACAATAAGGGTAAATAAAGAATTGGGGAGCCGGCTACACGTTCATTATGGACAAGCTATGGAGTGCATTCAGGGGCTCGAAAAAACCCAACAAAGAGCTCAACCAGAGCACTTACTCCCTGGTCTCCTGCGGGGAGGTGAGCCCAGACACCTTGCAGCTGTGGCTTGGTCTCCCGGAAGAAGTCAAGTACGACCCGGAGCTGGACAAGTTCAGAAGGCTGTATGAGGAGAGCGGTACGTGGGTCTTGTATCTTGTGTGTTTCTTGTATTAACTGATGTTTTTGCTTTCAGTCCCGAGACTATTAAAGCTTCATCGGAGGCAGAAACGGTGGGCTGGCCAGAACCCACGGGTTTGGACCCTCCGCTATGGGTAGGGTCACGCATGTGCTCATGAGTGCGTTTAACTGTGGTTTAAGGGCCGTTGAGGTCGCGGTTCGGACCGAGACCCCGATGGCCGTCGACTGTGCAAATGCACCGATTAGCTAAATAGCTAAAATCGGTGGCTGGGAACGGTGAGAACCGCCCCGGAACGCGGGTGTACCTTGTGTACGCGTTGTGTTGGTCTCGCCGTGCTCGGAGGCGAGGGCGAACTGGTGTGATTGTTGTTACACTAACTGTGGGTGCAGTGTTATCCGGCGGGAGCCCACCGTTGGGTCCACTTGCTTTGGCAACTGGTTTGACAAGGTGTCGCCTGTGGCTTGGACCTTTTGTGGAGATGGGTTGGTTTTCGGTCATCAAAAGACTTATGGAACGGTATGGAACAAGGTATGGAAGCTGCTGCATGGGCCTACCCCATGCAGCAGCTTCTACTGTTGCTCGGATGGGCAGGTTCATCCGGGGAAGTGCCACGGCCACACAGAAAACTAAGTACGGACACACAGTGGAAGTATATACTTTCGCGTTTCGTCTGGTGAGTGAGGTAGCCGGTGCCCATTTAATTAAAAGGTGGAAACGAATCTGCAACCCTACGGTTCTTGCAAATGCATCGAAACAACACCTTTAAGCTTAAGATACAGGTGTTCTGTCCGTTACGCAAATCGAACAGAATACCTGTCTCTTACGCAAATCTTAATCGCCTCTGGAGCATATTGAGCCCATATATTCCAATATTTCTTTTTTGCCTATTCACGTAAGGAATCCCATAGTTAATGCGAACACTTGAAATGGCTAAAGATGTTATTTAATTAGGTCTAGGCCTACGGACCAATCGGGGCTACTTTAATTTTCTTACGGGCGCTTAATACGAGTAATATATAAACTACAAAAGTATCAAACTAAAAATGGAATAATAATTTTCTTATTTGTGGCCTTTAAGCATCGTGTGGCTCTTTGATTCCCAGCGAATTATAATATGTACGGATCCTATAATTAATAAGCAATCCTAATGTTTTTTTGTAGTTTGAATCATACTGCACCTCTTAACTTTATTTCCATTTTCAACAAGGTATCTTACAACGAATAACCAGCAGTTGGTACCAATTGTTTACGTAAGTCGTCATCTAAATCGTGTAGGACGGTGATACAAACAGCTAAGTACAGCCCTGTAACCACTTCCCTTGTTTCATGTCATCCTCCGTAGTAACGTTATGAACGCGAACGTCTGCTTGTCAGTTTGTCTTGTTAATAGTTTGTATAGAGATAGTTCACGAGACGGAACGAATGATTCGTAATTCGGAATACTATCGTCATCATCATTACTTCGGCTTGTTCTAGTCCACTGCTGGACACAGGCCTCCCCCACAGACTGCCACGAAGCATGATCCTGAGCCACCAGCATCCATCGACCACCTGTATTTGCAAAGGTCATCAAGCTCATGGAATACTGCAGTTGTTAACAATGATGGACACTAAATCGTAATCCAAGTGTGCAAAGCTGATCTAGTAATATATCGTTATTTTTTCTCCTGTAGGACATAAAGAATCAAATTGCTTTTAACAAATCCGCCAACAATGTTGCTACCGAAAAAAAAAAACGGCGCGGTGTGGTGGCTATATTGTTTACTGTTTGTTAGCTTAAAACATAAACTGTTTGGTTTATTAATTTGAAAAATCATTTAAAGTTTGTTATTAGTTTTATTAATTGTTAGCTCCCTAAGAGGATGTTCTGAGGTTGTTGTAACCTAACAGGTTATTAGCATTTTATATCATCTGTCCGTGATATGTTCATCTCATTCACAAGCTATGACGATGCTAAACTAGTAAACAACTCTATGTATTGTGCTTTTAACCTTATCGCAACGATTTGATTAATCGACCATGAATTATTGTAAGCTGATTAATTGCAATATAATATTTTATGAAAAATAAATATATTACAATGATTTCTTTTATTTACACGAATATGTACTTCATTAAATAAAACTTTTTAAGAGTTTTATCACATTTATGTTTATTTGAATTCCCGACGTTTCCAATACTTGGGCAGCTATATAGCTTAAATAGCGTTCATGGTCACGGGACAGACGTGGGTCACACTGAAAGTTCTTAGAAAATTTCCATAAAACGGCTCAATGAAGAAAGTTGTCAATATTTTTATCGTTGTTCGAAGTGGTGTCCATTTCTCTCTATACATCTTCGGGTTCTATGAACTGAGAAAAGCAGTATTTTCATTCTGCCTTAGATGTCTCTTCTACGGCATTGTCGAACGCGCTCAACGCATCTTCAGGGCTCGTTAAGCGAATACCTTAAAGTTTATCTTTGATCATCGGGAATAAATCAAAGTCGCAGGGCGCCAGGTCGCGATTTTATGGCGGATGACTCATTATTAAGTGGACTCAGGTGCTTTTTTGTCCGCGATTCTAATTTATTGACTTTTTGTTTTGGAATTGTTGAGAAATTTCTTCTTTTACACCTATATAGACATGTTTATAAAATCGTGTCTTCACGTATGCCTTTTTGTCACTGTCAACGGCCGTTCGAAAGTGAGAGAATGCATTCCTTCGTTTAGTTTAAAATTTGGTAGGCGAGGAGGCTGATACTATATCTGATCTACAATATCTGTTGGGTCAAATTATTAAAAAAGTGGGACCCGGTTACCTCAATCGCCAGACGAAACGTTCAAGTATAATACTTATTCATACCAGTCTTCCGTGAGGACGTGACACTTCCACGGACGAGCCTGCCCATTCTTGCAACAGCTGCAGCTGAAGTTTGCAACAGTTGCTTGCAACAGTTGAAGCTGCTGCGTGACGCTCCCATTAGAAATAGTGGTAAATAGTCACATCGACATGTTTGTTTCGCGGGTAGCGCTTGAAGTAATATGTTAAACATTATTGTGTTAATAAATAAATATTGCAAGCACATACATGAAAATTGCCATTACTCAGAACTACGTAATCACACCAAAACCGGTGATGGTAATGCATGAACACAATGTGGGAATTTTAGCACATTGAGTACAGATGTGTTTCCTTATAAGTTTTTTGTCCAATCTCCTACTGATGCTTTATGGAAAGTGACAATTCGGAATTGGCCTTAACTAATAGTTATAATATTTTCAGGATATAATATTATATTTACACAATGTTATCTAGTCCCAAACTAAGCAAAGCTTGAACAATGTTGAACAAGTATTTTTATCAAATACCTAGTACAGGCAATTGATATAAGTACTTAAACACATATTATACATATATAATAACCTAGACACTTGAAAGTTACTGTATTCATTACCCAATATTCTTTTCAGTAGTAGGAAATCGAATCCACACCTTCTGGTACAAGGGACAGGTTCAATATCCAACACGCCAAACGTAGTTCGAAATACAGGAGATTATCTTCGTGAAACGACCCTGGATAAGAAGACGCATAGAAATCAGTATTTTAGTTCAAAAAAATGCCAAAATGCCATTTTCAAAAAGTTCAAAAAATTGACTTGCGACGTACCAGGTTAGAAAGTGCTGGTCGATTATTCATCTACTCGTAGAAGACTAACGTAGATTTCTAGTTTTAATTAAGTGCTTCATTTTTCTAGATCAAGCCTGATGCCTGATATTATTTGCTAGATCAAACCTGATGTTTCAGCTCAATCGGAGCCACAACCGGTGAATCAAAAGGATGGAGCGACGAAGAACCCTCAACGCTTGCCGTCTGCTAGCTCGGCACCTTTACTCGGCGGTAAACTAGAAGTAAAGGATCCAAAAAATAGCATTAACGACAAAGAAGAAATTGCCAAGTTAAGGAATGTAGAAACTGTGGAAAGCAATATGTATGTATCACGCTAGTTAATACGATAATAATTACCTCAGTTTAAACGGATTTAGATGTTTTCTGCTCAGTCCTATCGACTTTGTAACATGCCTAAGTATGTTATGATTACGGCTTTGTTAATGAAGAAGATACGTGCTTTTTTCTACATTTATTTAGTTTAAGTAAAAAATTGCCTATCCGAATCTTTTTTCGTTGGTGGTTATGATTGATATTCACATTTCTCTTTACAGTCGCATCCAACCCTCGACGAGGTTCCAAAAGAAGGTAAGCAAGTTAAAGGAATACAATTAATTTTGTCGTTTAATAGTTAAATGAACAAGTTAGGCAAAGTGTCAACTGAAGTTGTAACGACTTTGCATTAGGAAAATCATTTCTGACATAGATTTGATTACTTACAAATTCTTGATGATTTCTTATTCTGAAAACTTCCGCTTGTTGCACGAATAGGCATGCCCGTCCGGGGAAGTACCAAGGCGACACAGAAGACCAGTATGATATTTTAGCGTTTCGACTATTGCGTGACGTCCCGCTACAACCATTTTAAAACTTAGTAAACTGTGTGCAACCTTACAGGTGTTGTATTATATATGTGTTACACTTCTACGTTTCGTCTGGTGAGTGAGGTAGCCGGGGCCCACTTTATTTAAAGGTGGGCAACGCATTGGCAACCCTACAGGTGTTGCAATGTCCATGGGCGGCGGTTATCACTCAACATCAGGTGAACCGCCAGCTCGTTTGCCACTTTCTCACAAAAAAAAATCTTTTATAAGAATAAAATTACTGAAATGGGTTCATTTAAAGCTTTTATTAGGTTTATGTAACGAACTTAGGACTCTATGTAACGCAATCTTTAACTATCACATAAGATGCACAATGTATATGTATCATTTTATTTAAAAATAAAAGACAATATTTTTTAAATCAAGATTAAAACGATAACTAATATCCGTCAATAGTTACTTCGAGTCAAGCAGTATTCAAATTCTCCTTGATTTAAACTAAAACTATTGCTATGTTTATACGCGCCATTTCTTACGCGCTGGGAGAAAAAACTACTTGAGACGAATATTTCAGATTAGTGATGCAAAACACTACACAAAGATGACTGTACTGCTGGGATGCTGGGTGTTCTTTACCGCTGTATTCTTGATGTGCAACGAGAAGAAAGAGGTTTACAAAAACACAGCCATAATACCTGGGATATACCAGAGTGAGTCAAGAAGATAGTTCTTTTGCACGATATGTGGCGTTACAAAACTTCACATTAAGTTCGGTGGCAGGTCATGCCTTTACCGTAATGTGCAGTTTTCTTTTCGAAAACATTTGTTATAAACATATTAGGACAAGGTATATAATAGTTCATCTAATTTTGCATCGCTTTAGCGATAGATTTCACATTTCTCCAGAATGATAAGCCTAACTTTAAGAAGAAAATGTTGAAATCGCGGAGTCGCAGTAATTTAACGTGAAATAATAATGACGATGGGCCTGCCATAAAGCTCGTAGAAGGGGTAACCGTTGGGGAAGAAAGTTTCTCGAGTGGGAGGCTCATACTGGCCGTCGCAGTGTGAGACGATCCACTAGATGGAGTGAGTGCAAGCGTGCGGGAAATCGATGGACGCAAGTGGCTCAGGATCGTACTTTGTAGCAGTCAGTAGGGGGGGCTTTGTTCAGTAGTGGACTCAAACAGGCTGAAATGATGATGATGATGAATAAATAAATTTAGTTTAATGTTTATGCATTTTTAAACAAGGGTATAACAACAGCTGCCTAATCGAGATATACAAATGTTGATTTTTAGATTTCACTTTTGAACAGTCCGAAGCGCAATCGGTTCTCGTAAAAGTCTCCGGGCCCTTTCTCTCTGAGCAAGCCGAGATGAAGATGAACTCAAGTGTGTTGGAGACGAGGGAGCGGCTGATAGTCTGGGTGGAGAGATGGCCCTCGAACAGAAGCGGTGTTCCACACGTTAAAACAGAGATGGCGGTAAATGTAAGCAAGATTAACTTGAGGACTTTTTAATTTATTGGTATGATGAATGACTCGACGGCGTAGTTGATCAGGCCATTGACTGCGATATCGGGGATATAACTTTATTGATAACCTGGAAGTAAATGGGTCTAGAAATGTCTACGGTAACGTTTTAAATGCCTTGGCCACTCGTGATGGAAGCGCTGAGCATTTTGCTTTTTGTCTGATGAGTGGTGTGTGACTCTATGGCGCAGTTGCTAAGCTATTGGCGCAGTACAATGGGTTCGAATCCCATTTAGGAATAGTATTAGCGTGACTCACATATAATGGTTCTGTATTTGGGCCGTAGGCGGCCAGTCGTATAAACCTGGCCAAACCTAATTAACAATATGATCCACATGTTATGCCGACTCTAAAAAAAGGGTAGGATAAAAAAAACTAACAATGATGTGGTGATGAAAGTATTTTTGGTTAATTAGTTAATTCTATAATTCTAGTGACGCATCGTTATCATAGGAAATATAAAAATAGAGGCTGTAAACTAAAGCTACTTTAGCTCTATCAAACGTCAGGTTAAAGTTAAATTTAACTAAATCAACAGTTTATGGCCCACCCTATAGCTACCCTACCCCCTTATACCCTTTATAACTGTCCTTAAATGGTTACAAAACTTTTGTTTAAACACTAACCGTTACAAACTGTTAGTTATGTGATGTAGATGAATTGAATTACGCGAAAAACTGATAGAACAAAAAGTGAAACATGACATTGTGACGTAAGAATTGTTGAAAGTTTTAAAAGATAAACTGAATATTTCTATACGTCAAGAAATTTAGTCATATGGGACAGGGCTTTTTGAACTTTAACAATTTTAAATCCCATAAAAATTTTTCTATAGTCAAAACTCAAGTTCTAAATTTTCATTTGTACACTTGGGTTTATCTACCACAGATTAGAATAAAGATTTTTTTATTAATTTCAGTCAACGAATTCTTGGAGTGTGATCCTGCAAGACCAGGATCTGGCCTGCAACGAAGGCGAATCACGAGCCTTCATCTTTCGCTTCGATCTAAATACCAACGGTAGCGTCAACGTACTCCGTATGAGAGCCACTTCTAGCGAAACCGTTGCCTTTGCCGTTAGCTTCAGCATGGACCCCCTGGAAGTCAGCACCGGCGTCATCTGCGCTTGCATCTTGCTCTGCGGACTGTACGTGTTGATTATATTTGAGGTTGGTCTGCGTTTTTTCCGCGTCTCATCTATATTTCTCATTCTCACATTTCTGGGTTATACTGAACTAAGTGTATTTTATTCCATTTGTTGTGATTCTTCAGTTTTTTCATAAATTCTTTGTAATGCTTTTCCCAAAACTTGATTGTACACTTTATTTATTAGTTTTGTTTAATATATATTATGGGTCTTAACGTTTATTTCTGTTATTCAAAACAGTAATAAAAAAATATATAGTAAAACTTATTTCGCCTCGGAATTCCAGTGCTCCGTTGGTAAAGCGTCTGGGTGCGAAACCGAAAGACGCAAGTTCTAATCCAGCGGCAAAATCTAGTTTTTGATCGTTTATGTACGAAAATTTACAATTTAAATTAAAGTTTCATCTTGAGTGGAGAGACTAAAAACCAAAATTAACTCAAAATGCTAAGTTCGTTTGAAAAGGTACACTTTGGCGTAACTAAGATTTGAAAAATCGCATTTAATACTAGCTGATACTCACGACTTCTTCTGTGTTGCATATTATCGGCAAGAAAACATGGATCACTCAATACGTAGCGCAATATTTTTTTAAACCTTTATTATCTTTACATTAATTGAAGATATCACAACAATTTTCTTCTAAGATAATAGCCAAGTGTCGGAGAAAAAAAACTTAGAAGAATTTATTGAAATTCATCTAGAAGTCTTTCCTTGATGCGCGCACAATTGCAGACCTGTATCATCTCATTTATATATAAACAAATATACAAATATCGATTAGAGAGCATCCAAAGACGTTTCACAATTCCTTTCTGGACCCAATAAAAGAGTATCCTATACTAATCGACTGAAAACATTTAGTTAAACTCACGTTAGAGAATGTAATCACTACGTTTATGGACGTAACCTGCATGACATGACATTCCTGCACAAACTCATTAACGGGACCATAGATAACCCAGAATTGTTGAGCCAAGTGTGTTTTAAAACTCCCTCTCGTTTACCGCGGAATCCTTATCAAGTACTCCAGCCCAATTTGTACAGAACCAACCTTGGCCACCACTCCATCCTACCTCGCCTAATCAGGCTATACCAAGAATTTTAAAGGAGAGACAATTCCATCGATTGCTTCTCCGATAATGTACATACTTTCAAAGTTAAAGTATTAAAATTATTAACACAGTAGTGAAAGACAATTGATTTGGCACTTAGAATAACTTAATTATTTTATTTTTATTTTTTGTTGTTTATAATACTTTTTTACATTTGTGTTACTCTTTAGTTAGATTAGTCAAAAACGATTATACCATGAGTACGACAAATACTCTCGTTGAATACTGTGGCTACCTGTAATTGAGATTACGTGTAAATTGTTGCCATATAATGTTTGTTTATTTAACTCTGTGTACATGTAATTTTGTTGGTTATCCAAAATAAATAAATAAAAAAAAGTAAAAAATATAGAAGGAGATTAATTCTCTAAAGACGATATGTGTATGATTTATATGTACAGCGTGTGGTTACCATCGCGACAATAAATGAACACACGTCTATCGCTACTTGCCAATAATCATAAAAAAATATTAACTTTTAACAAAATCCATAATTAAAAAGAAATATTTTTCCAACAAACTAATTAAATAAAAAAGAAACAAAATTTGTAACATCCTATACAACTCGCGCCACACCGTCGCATTACAAGCCTCTCCTTCTAACAGTATGTTTTGTCTCTTTTAAATTCATTCAACCCATTCATATGCTTCGTGACCTTTACAAATGAACTTTATTTATGTTACAGTTTTATACGTAAGGGTGTTCTAAAATTTTTTGTTTTGGAAATTTTAATAACTCGGTAAATATTGATGTTTAAAGAATGTAAATGTTTCATACAATTTTAAAAAGTTATCATCTATATGTGTGTTCATTTATTGTCGCGGTGGTAACGACACGCTGTATATGTAAGTTTCTATTTACAAACATGTTTGGTATGATACATATATGCAGTTAAACGTAGCCAGTATTTTCGTAAGTATGCATGATTGCATGATTCACCGTTTTATGATCGTTACACTTCCAACGAACGCTCGGAAAATTGCAGATAATAAACCGGACCATGGCAGCCATCGTCGTCTCCACCACGTCGTTGGCCGTCCTGGCCTTAGTCGGCGAGAGGCCCTCGCTGCCGGAGATCGTCTCTTGGCTGGACGTGGAAACCCTGCTACTGCTGTTCAGCATGATGGTGCTGGTCGCGATCATGGCGGAGACCGGGATTTTCGACTTCCTCGCCGTCTTCACTTTCGAGGTGAGTTTCATCTACTAACCCACCGTTTGACGACTGGGTAATTCCAATGTAAGGTACTCGAATGTTCTTGCGTAGCACAGAGGAAATTATGAAGGGAAGTAAATCCTGGTGGATGCGCGATCTCAGATCATGTTTCGAATGCAAGTGGTTTGTGAACTTGATGATTTTTCGCTTAGCCTTAAATTTTTTGATCATCCTAGCAAATAGGAGCCGCTCTCTGACATTTGTGACGCTTGTTTACTTTGTTCATTAGTATATAAATTCGGTGAAAGGAAATTTAAGGTTTTAAAAATCTTGGCGAATTTACTTAGTTTTTCGGTTTTTGCACAGACTATGAACGTTGATTTCGTTGACTTTTAAATACATATTATAATACTATACTAGAATTACATACCTACTATTTTTAAAATTATATTTGTGTTTTAAAATTGTATTTTATCCCAGGTGACCAAGGGTAGGCTGTGGCCGTTGATATTCTTGCTTTGCGCCATCACGGCTATCCTCTCCACTTTTCTGGACAATGTCACCACCGTGCTCCTCATGTCGCCGGTCACCATCAGGTCAGGAGAAAATTGTTATATACATTTTTTAATGTTTACTAATAAATGGACAGCTGTTTTATTTGTTCGGTTATACTGGGAAAACTACTGAACCGATCGGAATAACACACACACCATAAGATGCAGCGTGTTTCGGAGAAGGTTTTAGTTTAGGATGCGTTGGTGATTACTTATCCGGAACCTATATTTATTAACTTAAAGAAGATGGTATGACCAAGCAAAGCGGACAGCTAGCTGTTTCATATTTCCATTTACTCTCATTGTTCTAAAACACATTTTTGTTTACATGTTAATCGTTGAGAAATTTAACGTAATGGTGTCGTCGGGAACGTGTGTGGTTCGCTGTAGAAATGCAGCAGTGCTACCTAAAATATGGTCGGGATATCTGAAGTCTGATTATGAAATAAAAAAAGAGGAGTTATTGTGAAATCAGGGCTGTCCGTATCTCAGTAGTTATTCAGTTTGGGTGTTCCTGTTTCGTTTTCAGGCTGTGCGAAGTGATGGACCTCGACCCCGTGCCGATTCTAATGTTCATGGCGATGTACAGCAACATCGGGGGCACCGCGACGCCGGTCGGCGACCCGCCCAACGTCATCGTCGCCTCCAACAAGGCCGTCATCCAAGCCGTATGTTGATTCGAAATTGTTGGAGCGTCATCATCACTTCAGCTGATCGACTGCTGATAATGTTCTCTGTAATGTGTAGTCAAGCTCAATGTCCGTATAACGAAAAATTTCTATGTCAAAATCTCGAATGTCCCCATAAAAACTTGAGGATACTTTTTTATATATCTCATTCATAAAATAGTTTGAATTTTTTTGAAAATTTTTTTTTGTAAACACTAATTAGTTTTTACAAAAAAAAAATTTACTATCTTATGAACAGTATGACTCAAATTTCGAAATCAATCTCGAAACAAGGGTGTGCTACATTATAACTGTTGAAACAAAAGTATATGCGACTAGCTGACCCGGCAAACGTTGTTTTGCCATACAAATTATTTGTAGGGTTGAAAAAAAATGCTTGGGGTGAACCACCCTTAACATTTAGGAGGATGAAAAACAGATGTCCGATTCTCCAACCTGGCCGATACGCACACAAAATTCCACGAAAATCGGTAGAGCCGTTTCGGAGGAGCTCAATTACAAATACCGTGACACGAGAATTTTATATATTAGGTTTGAGACACCTATTTACATATTTACTGACTATTCTCCACTTCGCCTGCGTCCCTCAGGGCATCAACTTCACCAACTTTACCGCGCACATGGCCCTCGGGATTCTGTTCATCTCGATTCAGACGACTCTTCAGATCAGATTCATGTACCGGGACACAAATAAACTGAGGCTGAAGGAGCCGAGGGAGATCCAGGGTGAGCGAATCATGTTTTATCTTACAGTTACTGTTAATAGTTTCAGATTTAAGAGTACAAGGTCCAAGGTGAGCGGATCATATTTTATCTTACAGTTACTGTTAATAAATTATAGAGTACCAGGGAGTGTGAGAAGGTGGCAAGTGAGCTGGCGTTTCACCTGATGTTGAAAGCTAACCGCCGCCTATGGAACCGTAGAATTGCAGATGCGTTGCCACCTTTGAAAAAAGTCAGCCCCGGTTATCTCACTCACTAGACGAAACGCAGAAGTGTAACACTTCCACTTCACGCCGGTCTTCCGTGGGGTCGTGGTACTCACAAGCACAGTTACAGTTTACACATCATTCTATAACCCCCAGCTAAGCAAAGCTCGTACTATGGGTACTAGAAAACTGATAAACTTACTTAAACATACTTTTCTTTTGTAAATAAATACGTATTAAACATATATAAACAACCAGACACTAGAGAAACACAATGTTCATCACACAATATTTTTCCAGTAGTGGGGATCGAACCCACAGCACAGACCTACCCATACGTGAATGCCGAGGCAGTTGCGTGGCCCTACCACACTCGCACACTACTATAATAAGAACAACACATCGTACACTTCTAGAAAGCTCATAAAACGTTTCGTCACGATTGCGGTGGACCACACCTCGTCATCCTCCCGTCGTCCTCCTAGACATCCGCCACCAGATCAGCATATGGCGCCGCGCTGCGGACTCCTTGCCGCATCTGAGCAGGGACGTGCACGTGGTGAGGGAGCGGTTGGAGAAGAAGGTTGCCAAGCTGAGCCAGCAGCTGGAGAAGATGCTGCGCGAGAGCAGCAAGAGGGCCTGCCCCAAGGACACGTTCAGGAGCACGCTGATGGAGCTGAAGGATAAGGTGACTCTATCCTTGATCGCGCTCCGGAATGTGGTAGCGGATTATCAGAAGGCCACACGAAAAGCGGTGGCATTTTTGTCAAAACTACCGCGTACTATGAAATACTTCTATAAATATATGTCGCACTGCTGAGTCCCTTCACTGTACAGAAGGTTAAACTTTATGACATCAAAAGAATTTAATTCTTTTTTCTTTATAGTTGGTTATAGTAGTTCATGTTTTATTTTATTGATGTGCTATTAATTTTGAGTTGCAAATTTATAGCTGTGTAGCATGATATTTTACAAAACATGGATAGTTTTAAATAGTACTCGTACAACGCAAGTCGATGTGTTTTCAGCCACTTTGGTTGGTTCATTTATGAAGCTTAAGGTTATGGGAACTCTTAAATATAAAAAGTCCCGTGTACAAGTTTATTTTTGTTTAAAATATTTACATTAAAAATCTTCAATATTTTATCTACACATTTGAATAATGTTATTTGGCTAGGTTTCTTCCAAACGAACGCCGGCTAAACGGCAAACGTCCTAGGGAACAAACACACGGATCTGTGGGTCACCCAAATACTATCCCCGAGTGGGAATCGAACCCACGAACACGCCGAAGCCAATGGTTTAGAAACTGCGCCAACGAGTCATGCAAAGAATGATCATACATAATCATTACAATACAGTACAAGATCCGCGACAAGCCACTGCTCTTGAAAGCAATAGTCGCGATTGCTTTCGTGGTGATCGTCTTCTTCCTTCACTCCATACCAGAGCTAAGTAAGTAGATAGCTTAAGTTACAACTTAGTTATTAACTTACTTTCGAACCAGTCGAACTTAGCTAGTCGCTCATGAGATAGCTTATTTAACAACTTTGGTGATAAAATTATGGACATTTCCCAATCCTTACTAATATTATAAATGCGAAAGTTTGTATGCATGGATGGATGTTTGTTACTCTTTCACAAAAATACTACTGAATGCATTTTAATGAAACTTTACACCAATATAGTTTATATATCAGAATAAGACAAAGCTATAATTTATATACATATTTTATGTATTCTACGCAGACGTAGTCGCGGGCAGCAGCTAGTTAATTATATATGTTGAGGGAAGTTAGAATAAACTTTGATATTACAAGGATTTTTTCATTATAATAATGCATACATTAAGTAAATTTTATCAACAAAAACAAAACCGACTACAAATGTCTCACTCACTATAGATGTTCTATTTGATTTTGAGGTGTTCCCTGATTCGGAATCTGAGGTCGAATACCAATGGAATTGAAAAAAAAAAATGAGAGGTTCTCAGTTCTGGTTCTTTTATGTCTGCTGCCTCAGAACTCATTCATTTTGCATCGGGTTTGATTGATGCTCCCGTGTTGTCCCACATATCCATTTCATTGGTCAATATTCGTTGTCGGTTTTGTTTTTTGTTAATGAAAACATAATTTATGTATCCAATATTTACAACATTAACGCCCGGTTTCTGAAACACTGATCATCGTAGATGTCAACTAATTAGCTGTCAAATGGTTTTCAAATTTCATTTTAGTTGTCAAAAGGATGGTTAAACGCTTTGGATTGATCGTTCTGAACATTAGAAGATCATTCTGGTCAATTCAGAGAGTTTAACCGTCCTTATGGCAACTAGAATGAAATTTGAAAACCATTTGACAGCTGATTAGTTGAAATCTACGATGATCAGTGTTTCAGAAACCGGGCGTAAATCTATCCCGATTACATATTGTCTAATAAACCTAGTCCACGCGATATGGTGCCAAAAGTTATGCAGAAAAGTTATGTTTAAACTTTGAGCGAGAAAAGAACCAGCTCTCTTGTCACCAGCCGCGGCGTTAAGCTTAGAAGATTACTGAAAACTTTTGTTATGTTACTACGAATATTCATCAGCGTTGTTGCTTACGATTAGACAGTCTGTCTGCTTGTTCGCTGCCTTGCCTTTAAGAGGAGTCGCTGGCGCCCGTAGATCGGGTGTCTCTGAGCTGGACTGCGCTCCTGGGCGCCATCCTCCTGCTGATCCTGGCCGACCGCGAGGACCTGGAGCCGGTGCTGCACCGGGTCGAGTGGTCCACTCTGTTCTTCTTCGCCGCTCTCTTCGTGCTCATGGAGGTCGGTTGGAGCATTTGTTAGAAGTACCTTTTGTCCCTCGGCTAAGTCTAGAAGGTCTACGTGCACCGATATCGCTATCGTCACAATTACAGGAAACATTGTAAAAAAAAGTCTATTGTCGTCATTGTAAAGAGATCGTAATACGGATAATACATACAAAACCGGGTTGTCTGTTAACTGGTGATATTCTAATAACAGCGTTATATTGCATCCCTTTTATAATCAAAATATATATAACGTTGAGGTCAGAGTGTTCGTCAATTGAAATACTAAATAACGTTAATTTTTAACTTTCAAAAATTCCCACAATGGAAACTTAGTCTTAAAAAAGCTCCAACTGTTCATTTGTATTGTCATCGTAACTTAAAATAATAGGTACAAAATTTCCCCTCAACACATGAGTTCCTTATTCTCTTTTACAGGCTCTATCCAAGCTTGGACTGATCTTATACATCGGTGGATTGATGGAACAACTCATTATGAAGGTGGATGAAAGCAGCCGCCTCGCCGTTGCCCTGATGCTGATCATATGGGTGAGTGGCAACTCCTAATCGAAGGTCCTGGAGATAGTTATTGGCGGAGATAAGGGTTAAGACTGCCTTTCAGGTCTGGGTTTGATTGATAATCTGATGATGACGGCTATTATAGAACTACGTGGAGCTCTGTGCGGATGGGGCTCGTCAATATTTTGTTCTGTGATAATGATGTTGTACAATCTTTAGTGATAAACGATATTGTACACTTTTTTATTAACATATTAACCAAAAGTCCTGTCGTAAAACTAACATAGATACTGAATGCAGAACTCGGATTTATAACGTTTTGACATTAATGTTTAAGTACTAGCTGATACCCGCGACTTTGACTGCTTGTTATATTAACTGTGCTAATTATATAAACGCGTAGTACTTATAAAACACGTTTCACAAAACTTTAATAACTTTACGTTGAATAAAGATATCACAATAATTGTTTTTAAATAAGGACCAATTGTCTAAATTTATGACGATCAATTGAAATCTATCCGGTAGTTTTCCGTGATGTGCTGCCGTGCTTATAATATAAGCATTAATAAATGTTTGTTTAACTATATATAAATATTTGTTTAACTATATATATTACATATAGTTAACCAATAATATTTTTTGACACGTCTTGTAATGGGGTTTCAAAATACTGTAATATTTTTTTGGATAATTTTTTGAATTATGATAATTTCTTGTATTTAAGCGATCACACATTATAAATGAAACTAATTTTACGAATTTATCGCGTTTTTTTATTTTAATTCCCGACATTTCGAACCCTTTATAGCGTTCATGGTCACGGGACAGACAGTCTGTCAAAATAGTTTCATTTAAAAAAGTTGTAAAAGTAAAGTAAAGTAACAGCCTATACATGTCCCACTGCTGGGCAAAGGCCTCCTCTATATAGAGGGTAAAAAGTTGTAGTTGATTAAATATACTTTGCGAAATTTTAAGAGCAAAGGCGACATCTCTCGTTATAAATGTTAATAAAGTACGCCGAGATTTTGCGAGGTCATCGGCTGCTTAACATAGTGAAAGTTTGTGTTCTTGTATTTACAAGAATTCAATTTATTGTTCCATCCAAAATGCATAACACCCTTACTAATACATCGGTTGTAGGTGTCAGGAACGATATCTGCCTTCGTGGACAACATACCGCTAACGACAATGATGGTTCGCGTGGTGGTGTCTATAGGATCGAATCCCAACCTCGGACTGCCCTTGGCGCCGCTCATATGGGCCTTGCTGTTCGGAGCTTGTTTGGGAGGTGGGTTAACCTGTTATAGGGTATTTATGTTGTTGTTAACTGTGTATAGGGTATTTATGTTGTTCCGAAGTTGAATTAAGCTTATATATGTCCACTGCTGGGCGGAGGTGTCGTCTATACAGAGTAGGGATGCCGGAAAAATATCGATACATCGTAAAAATGAGTCCTAAATTTTTTTTATCGAGAATTTTAGCCGATCTTCTTACAAAATATTCAATATCGAAATCGTATCAAAAACCGATATTTTTCCAATTCGAATGCGGCGGCGTGCGTAGGTGTCAAATATTTAATACTTGACATACTTCTTTTTGGACAAGGGGCCTAAAGAGAAAATATCGATATATCGATAAATTTCTTCACTTTCTGTGTCCCTAGTACAGAGGTAGCCCTACTGCGGATTGCCGTCACATATCTTCGGTATTTCGAAAATACGCAAGTGTTCACGTTTCATGAGATACACTTTTGATCCCGTTTTACCCTTTGGTTACGGAACCCTAAAAAGCAACCTAAGGCAGACAGCGTGGTCTTAGTAATAGGGTACCGTTTTACCCTTAGAGTTCCGAACCCTAAAAAACAAGATCTTTACCATTCGGTGTAAGAGCTTTATATTTGTATAGTGTTGTGGCAAGTTTAACCTTAAATGCCACCTTTGGTTAAGGAAAACTTGAGCTATTTATATTGAGAGTTAAGGTCTGTATTGCCACCTAACTCCATGCTGAGCTCAGAACATTTCTAGAAGCTTGTACGTATTGTATTGAAGACAATCTAATCTATGATGAACTACGGGATAATATAATCTTGGGTTCGATTCCCGCAGGGGCGAAACTTTACGTCTATTTTTTCTACAAATTTTAACGATATACACGGTTCGTGTTAAGGTCCTGCTTTGGAGTGTTGTGTCAAACTGAGCCTTATATGCCAAGATTGGTTAAGGGAATACGTGAGCTATTATTATTGCATTAAGGTGCGTGGTATCGCGCCGTGCTAGTGGCGGAGCAGCACGGCTACCGCTTCTCGTTCATGCGCTTCTTCAGGGTCGGCTTCCCGGTCATGATCGGCCACCTGGTGGTGGCCTCCGTCTACCTCATCATCTGCCACTGCGTCTTCGCTTGGCATTAAGTTTTGGGTGGGACCAATTCCCTCGCAATCGCCTCATGAATTCGTTGAAACGAAACATGTTCTAGGGAAAATGGAAAGGGACTACTAACAGACTAGTAACAAGATTGCAGGTCGCTAAAAAGAATGAGAGTAGTGAGAGAATTTTCCCATGTAGTGCAGTGGTTCCTGACATCAGCCTCCACATAATCGTCATCATCCTCCTGCCATTATCCCACCTAGGTGGGACACAACATGCGAAACGTGTTGTAAGCGCTTTTGCCCTTATTTTTACGACCGGCGCCTGCCTAGCATCGACCGTCCTTGGGGAACAACCACCCAGATCCGGAAAAACTATCTGTGGGTCATAAAAATAACCGTCCAGTGAGTAAATCGAACGCACGACACCCGTATCCGAAGCCAATAAATTAGAAACGGCGCTAGCGAGTCATCTCGCAAATTTTTTTTTCGTTATAAATTACGATGGAAAAGAATCGACTAGAGTGTCTGGGATTTAGGTAAGTGAAAGAAATAAATTTAATAAAAGGCAAAAATGTTGATATGTTGAAGAAAGGTGTGTAAGTATAACCTAGAAATAGAAGAACCATATTGGGCCATGTATTGATGACATTAGTGAGAGTATAATAGATTATATTCATTGCATTGTCATTCGGTATGTAGAAAAGTGTGTGATTTGAATTCTTTGTAGTCTATTCTATGTTCATATATATTTATATATCAAAAAAATTCAAACGATTATTCAAGTATTTCTCTAAATGTATATATAGGTAAAACTGATTTAACTAACAAATAGGAAATTAACTTTTTTTATCGAAGTTTTTAGAAATTGAAATAAAGAGAGTAAATAATTAATATAGATAGCTGTAGAAGTTTAACTTTGTACCTTAAGATTATATCGAAACATAGCTATTAATGTATAATTTAACATAATATTGTAATAATTAGTGTATTTTTGTTACACTACATTTTAATAGTAATTTTAAAACAATGTTGTTATGTAAATATTTAAACAGTAATAATATGTTAGAACTACTAAATCATAAATAATAAAATGTACCTAATGAAAAGTTAAGTTTATAAATAATTATATGTGTTTAAATAAGGAGTACAAACTGAAATTTATTTTTAGATTAGTACAATTTTTTTTTAATCTGTTGTTCATTGTTTTGTAAATTTAGAATAAATGATTTATTTTTGAAAATGTTTGGTTGATTATTAAAAAATTGATTATTTAATTTTTAGCGTCTTAGAAAAATGAAATCTGGTGTCTATATATAAGGTTAAAGATGGCGTGCCACAAGGAAGCGTATTTGGTCCACTTATTACGAGCTGATCGATGAGTCACCCAAGTTTGACCATCAATTTGACCCTTCCCACCAACGATAACATAATTACTATTGTGCGTGGTAACGATTTGTGACGAACTTTGATGAAAGGAATAGAACATTAAACAAAATGTACCAACTGCTTGATTCCAATAATGAAAAATCTTGAAAAAAGTGAAATAATATCGTCATAATCATGCCCTTATCTCAACTTGGTGGGTCGACACAACATGTGAATCGTGTAAGCGGTTTTGGCTAAAAAGTAAAATAATATATTTCGATTAAAAAAACTAGTTTTACCGTGGAAATTGATGCGTCCGCAAAGAAGACCTGCGTGAACTAGAAAAACCGGGGCCAACTCTTTTTAAGATTGGCCACGCATGTTTTTTTAAGTCCAAAAATATGGGAGAACAATTTTTCAGGCTTAATACTACTCTTGCACACCCATGTTTAAAAAGTCCTAGATATTGGCAATGGCACTATAGAAATATCTTTTTTTTTTGCTTATAAACATGTTAAATCAAGGACTGTGTTTAAATTAGAAGCTCGTAGATTTTGTATGAGTCTAATTGACATCTGGGACAGGAATGTGCATTGTTCAAGCAAAATGAATTTGTTTACATTCTGGCGACGGAAGTAAAAATCTGCACGCAGCGATATTTGATGGGATTGTAATTGAATTGTATTGTCATTTCCAACACGTGTATTGTTTCACGCCGCACGGGAATCGAAACCATGACCCCCGACGCCGAAGCCAATACATTGGCAACTGCGCCACGGAGTAATGGCATGGTCCACTGAATCACTAAATTGCCAGACTTGATGAAGTCTTTACGATGTTTTCAACTCCGCCGCAGCACTTAAAATTGCAGCTATCTTAGCGGGCTTTTAATGTAACTGATTAAACTATTTAAAGGAAATTACAAGGATTATATAATTTTTTTTATAGGACTGCAAAGTACTCCTACGTTAGCTAACTAAGTAAATTGATTGATAACTGGTAGTTGAAATATTTGAAATTAATTATATATCCATTCGATTCATAATATTTTTTTAATTTTCGATGACTCCATGGCGTGGTTGCCAAGGTATTGGCTTCGGCGTCAGGGGTCGTGGATTCGATTCCCACACGGGACAACTAATTTTGTGACCCACAGACAGTTGTTTCGCATCTGGGGGTTTGTCTGCGTGAAATTTATGTTTGTTAAACGTCATTACAACACAGGATAATATTATCCTAAAGTAATCAATGTTTAAAAAACAATCATTATGATCTTTTTTTTTCTAAAAAAAATAAAAGTACCATTGCACCAAAATTATTTATTCGACAAATAAAAGTAAATTTACATTCAGCTAAACCTTTGTTAATCACAATGTTTCATCACACAATAATAAGCCAAGTATAATCGCATCCGGGACTATATTTGAGCCCTGTTGACTAAATATCGTAAGTATCGTAAATAACGATGGCCATTTTTGCCGTAAAAATGTCCATTTAATTTTAATTTTTGAGAAGGCCTTACAAACAGAAACATATTTCGATATAGTTAAGAATTATTTAAAGCTGAGGTTTATTATTGAATTAAAAACGAATATTTCATTTGTATAAACTTAATTGTCACATGGAAATCCACTTTTAATCTGGTGTAGTTCGTATTTATTTTTAAATGTCTTTATGCTTGTGACATTATTAATTAGCATACATTTTAATGCTTATTAATTATAACATACTTTTTGTTTGGATGATACAATTTTTTTAGGACGCATATTAACATAGAAACCTTTTGTTTTTATGGTGAAAATACAAAATTGGCCGCTTTGAATAAAAAACAAATATGTCATAAATACTTTGGATATAAGAGCGTTCATACAAAAATGGTCATCATTCTGTTTCGTTTTCTGATGTTTCTTCCGCGGTAGGCAAGCCACAAGCGGATCTACCTTCCCACGGAAAGTAATTGGAAGTAATAAAGTCTACATGCCAGACATTTGAGCAATTAAGATTTCTTTGCAGAACCATGTTTCAATTATTGAGTATATAGACACAACTAACGCTAGCAAATGGTAAAATTTGCGATATTACACTTATCTCGTAATTAACAATCTGTTAAACGTTAAACTGAAAAAATACTCCATTACCCAGTAACGTTGACATTTAATTAATAGTTTAAATGATACTTTCGTTGCCAACCGAGGAAACGAAGCGACGTTTTTTAAGCCAAGAAAATAGTCAACTTACATTATGGCTAAGTTGATTATTTCTTACCAAGCTAGCGGTTAAACATTCTTCGATTCCTTTGACAAACATCACATAAAAACTTAAAATTGTTCGCAATATATTAAACCCGCCACAATAAAACCGACTTAGACAAATGTGTCGGCCGCAATGAAAACCACAAGCAATTGTGTTCAGAAACATCAATTACCGCTTACTGGTTAAATCCGTTTGCCATCTTCTTCCTGAACGTTACTAATTGTAATCTCTTATAGCACGTTAGTTCGCGCCAAACTTCATAAAAGCTGTGAAATCAGTGACAAAATCGAATATTATTGTCCAACGACAATAATATCATACAACGACAATAGCTAAAGCAAAGCGGCAATAATATCCAGATTCAAGTATTACCAACGTAATGCTTGAATCTGGAACCGTTAAATAGTTTGCAATTATAATTGATTACAGTTGCAAACTATTTAACAATGAAAATTATAATAAATAATAAAAATTATTTTACTTGTATTTTTTGGATCGGAAATCGACAAATCTAGTGTTATGCCTTGGCCACATTTAATCAATTGTTTGTCCAAATATTATAATTATGTAGGCAATACTTCTAAAAACTAAAAGGTGTGATAATTTTTTCTTTTCGTAAACTAAAGTCGGGTGCTAGTGCCTGCAAGGTTTCACAAGCAGCATCTAAGTTTGGCGCGATCTACACATCCGCTACTTGTATAACTAATTGTTACCGAAAACAGTTTGAGAGTAACATTAATAGCTTCAATATGATTAATTAGAGTTAAGTTAATTAGCAGCACTACCTAAGCTCTATTGATTAACTAATCGACATGGATTTTAGAATAAGTTTGTGTGTAGTCTACTTTGGGTAAATTTTCACAATTACAGCATTTAAGGTATATAAACATTGATCTAGTTTTATATATTGAACACATGAAACTTGCGACCTAACCCTTGTTTCTACCACTCGAGGTTTTTTTTAATATTCCTTTCTTCTGAACGTCGTCCTACTGTATATTTTTTATTTTTAACCTTTATATCTATTGAATATACATGAATTCAATTCTAATAAACTTCGATCTAAGTAAGCAATATAACACAAATGACAAAAAAACTTACCTAAACATCGATGATACGTAGACGTATCTTTATCGTATGACGTATATTTAGATATATGGATAATTTTGTGTATGTAATTATGTTTTTTGTACATTTCATATCTTTTGTAATGGAGATTCGCCTAATACTTGCTATATATAATATTAACTGATTCTTTGGTTTTATTTGTGAACCATTTTTAACTGCATTTAAACTAATTTGCACTTGAATTTCTCGCACAGGTAAGAGATTATTGGTTTGTCAAAAAATATTTGGTTTTCTATTAGTAAATAAAGTTGGTATAGTACTCCGCGATAAATATTGCACATCGACCTTTGGAAAGAATAATCATTTAGATTTCTTGTTTTCAGTTTTTATTTATTCTTTCGAGCGTTCATGGAGTATGAACGACACGAATAAATAAATAAATATTTTAGGACACATTTTTACACAACGTTATCTAATTCCAAACTAAGCAAAGCTTGTACTATGGGTACTAGATAACTCATAAACATACTTTTCTTTTGTAAGTAAATACATATTATACATATATAAACACCCAGACACCACTGGAAAACACCCAGACACTGGAAAAACACTATGTTCATCACACAATATTTTTCCAGTAGTGGGGATCCAACCCACACCCACTGGCACACTATACGAAAACGCCATGAAATCCATAAGATAGTTTCATATAATAAGAGATAACCAATTACCCCGGTTTCGTAGAACGTTATCTCTGTCACACACGTGTCATGTCTCAGTCCAGCGTGTATATTGAATATACACTTATAATATATATACTTGCCAATAATCATAAAAAAATATTAACGTTAAAAATAATATTATCTATAATTAAAAAAAATATTTTTCAAACAAACTAATTAAGTAAATAAGAAACAAAATTTGTAACATCCTATACAACTACAACTGACTGATTCATACATTCAGAGACTTGTTCATACGTTGCCACAGCGTCGCATTACAATCCTCTCCTTCTAACATTATGTTTTGTCTCTTTTAAATTCATTCAACCCATTCATATGCTTTGTGACCTTTACAAATGAACTTTACGTTACAGTTTTATAGGTAAGGGTGTTCTAAAATTCTTTGTTTTGGAAAATTTAATAACTCTGTAAATATTGATGTTTAAACTTTTAAGATTTCCTTTTAAGATTGTAGAAAAAAAATTATAGTAACATACTACTACTAATAAACCTGTAATATAATATAGAATAGAAATAGAAGTAACAAAAGAAATATATAGATACTATTTCTCTAGGTTTAGACCGTTAAAATAATGGGCATTAGCACCGGGTGTTTTCGACCTAACAAAAAAATTTATTCAGTAGAGAAAAACCGCTAATGAAATAATGAACAAGCATAATTCTCCGGTCGCTTATAGTTTTCGAGAAAAAAAAATTTGAAAATTGTTATTTTCATTAAGAAAGTCCGCCATTTTATTGATTTGACTTCAAAAACTGTCAAAATACAGTACTGGAAAACTTATAATTTTACCTTAACTTTTCCACTAACATTAATATTTCGACTAAGATATCTTTCACTAATATTATTCATTTTAGACCAAAAAAGAAGTAGATAGCTCACGGAGTTCTATTATAATCAACATTACACGATAAGACTGCAACTATTGCGATGTAAGTCTTATTTGTTTATTACAACTGAAACCATCAATGCGATAAGGTTCCAACTAATGATGCACGTTTTATTACTTCATTATAATTGAAACCATTAATGCGATAAGGTTCCAACTAATCGAATGCATTTAAATTGCTTCATTAGGATTAAAATCATTAATGCGGTATTTGTTCCAATTATTGCAATGTTTGTACGTTTTAATTTCTTATTACAATTAAATTAATAATGAGATAAAACTTCAAACTTCTTTATAATTAAAACCCTCAATGTGCTAGGGTTCAATTACTGCGATGTACGTTTCATTTCTTTATTACATTTAATACCACTACTGCGATAAGGTTCCAACTAATTGAATGCACATTTTATTACATCATTATAATTAAAATCATTTATGCGATAGGGTTGCAACTAATGCGATGGACGTCTCACTTGTTCATTTTCATGGTTAAATGAAACTATATAACAGATTTTGACGCAACAATGTTCCGTTCGTACAATCACGAAAAACCGTTACCCACACTTTTAGTTTCCTTTTAATAGCAGTTGTTTCGCTAGATGTCGCTACTGTACTACGTTTTATTTAACTTTGATGTTGCTACGCTAGATGTCGCTATTATACGTTTAGTATAGCTTTAATGTTGTTTCGCTAGATGCCGCTACTATAAGTTAGGTTTCGCTAGATGTCGCTACGACTGCGCCGCTTCTGCGTTGGCGTGCCTCAGGGGCCGTATCTGCTTCAGCTTGGTGGAGTGGCCGTCGAACTTGATGTCCACGTCGCAGTCGCTGAGCGGGTGCGAAACGGTGGACGCGCTGTCCTTCCTCTCGTCGGGGCTGAGGGGGGTCACGAAGCCGCTGTCCGACTTTGGCTCCTGCGGCGCGGTGTTACGGTTCAAATTTAAAGACATGCTGCGCCTGTTCTGGAACTCCTCCTGCTGCGGGCTCAGCTTCTGGTCGAGCCGGCGCAGGTTCTCGTCGAAGTCGCGCTTCAGCTGCCGCTCGGAGAGCCTCTCCTGGAGGATCTGCTCGTGGGTGCTCGCGAAGAAGCCGGAGCCCCTCTTGCCCAGGTCCCTCAGCGACCCCGATATGATATCGCTGCGGAACTGGCCGCCGTCGCTCCTCTCGTCCAGCACCTGTGGTGCGGCCACGAGGCGGATTAGGTCCGTCCGGCGAAGTACGGCGTCCTCACAGAAGATCGGCGTAAAGTGGAAGTAACAAATACTTTCGCGTTTCGTCTGGAGAGTGAGATAGCCGGAGCTCAGTTTTCAAAAGGTTGTCAACGCATCTGTAACCCTCGGCTGTAGCAGATGTCCATGGGCGGTGGTATTCACTTAACATCAAGTGCACGCTTGGCAACTATTCCCATTAAAAAAAGTAGAAGTGTTGCACATGCGTTTCGACGTATCCGGTGCCTATTAAACGGTAGCATCTGCAACTCTCGGTTGTTGCAATGTCCATGAGCGGCGGTAATCACTTAACATCAGGTGAACCGCTCGCTTGCTACTTCACACAAAAACATACCTTCATCGCGTAGTGCCTCTGCCCGATCAGACCCGAGTGGATCGACTGCGACTTCTTCAGGGCGAAGTGTCGCCTGTCACTATCAGGGGAGCTGTTCCTGACGCCGTTCGCCGCGTTCATCACGTCCTCCTTGGATATCTTTGAGAACAGGTTGGGCGCGCTGACGCCGCTCTTGAAATTCCTCCTGGGGTCCTCTTCCTCTTCAGCGTGCTTGGTGGCGAAGATCTTGGAGCCGAAGGAGAGCCGCTTGGTGTGCGCCTGCACTATCCTCTTGACCTCCGGTGGCGGCTCCTGCCGCAGGCTGGCCACGTAGCGGCTGAGGATGGCCAACTGCTGCTCCATAGACTTGCTCTGCGCCTCGATACGCGCCTGCGTCTTCTGGTAGCTGTTGATCGCGTCCATGGCGGACTAGAATGGCGGAACGTAGTGTTTATGAATGTAGGTGTTTGGGTCAAAATTTTACCACAGTTCAATCAAGCATAATCTGCCGTTAATCCTTTCTAATACATCCTTACTTATATCCTTAATAATATTATAAACGCGAAAGTTTGTATGTATGGATGGATGTTTGTTATTGTTTCGCGCAAATACTACTAAATGGATTCTAATGAAACTTTACAAAAATATTCTATACATCAGAATAAGATATAGGCTATAATTTATATACATAAAGATATGTGTACATATCTTTATGTATTTCTGTCTGAATGTTATGAAAGTTACGAAGCTAGGTAACTAACGTTAAATATAGAAGCCGGGCATTAGTCCGTTACAAATTAGACAATACAATGCTACTGACATCCAGCTCGGTGGCCATTCGCTCGTTGTCGGCGGCCAAACGCCTGCCGGCGTCGGCGAGGGCGGCCAGCCGGGGCATCTCCTCGCGCAGCACAGCGTATTCCACCGCGTACTCGCTCAGCTGCCTCCCGATGTCCAAACCCTGCACCTGGTGGCAAGGTTACACCTCGCTTGACTACCAACCAGAGATATATTATTTAACGAAATATTTTTTTTGTGGAAGGCTGTCAAGCGAGCAGGCGGCACATGTATCATTTTGAATCGACAATGCGTTGACTACTTTTTTTAAAGTGGGCCCAAGCTAGCTCACACAACAGACGAAACGCAGAAGTATAATGCTTCCACTTCACGCTGGTCTTCTATGAGGCCGTGGTACTACGTGGCAACTCTGTACAGATGAGTCCTTTGCACTGCTGTAGGGCATATATAAGCTGTTCCTTAACTTTTTCAATTAACAAGCCCATTACCTAGTTTTTTTTTAATGTGAGGAAGTGCCAAACGAGATGGCGGACATTTGCAACACCCGTAATGTTGCGTTGCTACCTTTAAATAAAGTGGACCCCGGCTACCTCAATCACCAGACGAAATGCAGAAGTGTAACTTCCACTTTACGCCGGTCTTCTGTGAGGTCGTGGTACTTGCACGGACCTGCCCATTCGTGCAACAGCGAACACCGTTGCGTGTTCCTACCACAGTTGAACAGTTGCTTAGTTGGCTCGCACACCTCATATCAAGACTGCTAAAGTTACCTTCTTCATGACCTTCTCGTAGACGACCTTGTCCATATCGGGCAGCTTGTGCTTCAAGTACTCGGCAGCCTCCTCGCAGCTCTCGCACATCATCAGGCCGTCCTTGTGCGCGCTCAGCAGCGAAAGGGACACGGCGAACACCACGTCCAAGGAGTCCAGGAAGATGAGATCTGGAGTCGGGGTGAGGTGGTTAGGTCCTTCTAGCCGAAGGTTTGATTGATTGATCTTCTTATTACCCTCCTCCGAACGTGATATCGGTTTTTTTTTCAAATTCGGACTGTTTTAACAAGACGTAACGAGTGAGCGGTTTATATTGAGTGATCATAGCCGCTTTTGGATGTTATAAATACCATGGTTTTAGATGCCTTAATAATACACACCTACAACAAATGAAATTCAAAAATATAAATATTCGTAAAGTGATATTCGTGGTAAAACTCAGTTATATTGTTTGATTCGATTGGGACAGTGGATAGTGGTTCCTACCTCTGGGGTAGAGACAGTGTGGGTTCAATTCTACTATTATTCCGACACTCTTTGTGTCACTCTTTGTGCCGACTCCACCTGGGTGGGGTAAGGGCATAAAGAGGAACTGATGCACCTACCGAACACCCTGACCACGAAGCCGAGCGGGAACTGGCTGGTGAACAGCGTGAGCATCCAGGGGGCGGCGTAGAGCGCCGGCGAGATGTCCAGCGCCTCCAGCTTCGCGTGCAGCTCGGGCTCGTGGTCGCGCAGCAGGCGGGACAGCTGGTATAGCTGCAACGCAACAGGAGGTGAGAAAGAGCGACAGAGAGTCAGCTGTACACTAGGTGCAGCTGCTAGTCAACAGGAGATGGAAGAGAGTGACAGAGAGTGAGCTGTACACTTGGTGCAGCTGCTAATCAACATGAGTAAGTGTGACAAAGAGGGTGAGCTGTACAGCTGCCACAATGCTAGACAACAATGGATGAGGAGGAGTGGAAAAGAGAGTAGAGCTGTACAGCTGATATAACAGCATCACGACATGAGATGAAGAAGAGTGGTAAAGAGAGTGAGGTGTGCTGCTGGTACAGCTTCAATAATAAAAGATAAGGAAGAGTGGCAAGAGAGTGAGCTCAAGTGCCCACAAGTCAAGGCAGCGTGTACGTACTTACACATATATGTATATACAGTAGTCCGCGAAAAACACTACACGTCGACGTTTGGAAAGAGACGATGCACTAATTTCGTAGAGCGTTATTCCTGTCGCACGAAGCAGTAACAGAGACAGACAGTGTGTGAGAGCGATAACGGTTGAGGAACCTGAAACTAACTGGGTTGGTATGTTTGAATGGTATAGCTCACCTGGACCTGTAGGGCGCTCATATCGGGCAGGTACTGTTTCCTCAGTCCCCGGCGGAACATCAGGTGCCGAAGCAGGGCGAACGCTTCTGCTTCCTCCATCTGGGTAAGTTCACATAAAGGATATTATGTGAAAAATATGACATCGTGATTAAAGGATATGCAAAATATCGCGAAATTCTCTTTTTCAATTTATTAACGAACGTATTTTTCTCATTCATTTAACTTTTTCTTCTGACATAGTGAGTTTACAAATCTGTTGATAAAACTGTTGGAGAATTTTTCGCCACTGCGAGCCCTTCGCTTAGGGTTGAATTTTGATTTTTATTTATGTGAGAAGTTGGCAAGTGAACTGGCAACCCTACGTGTGTTGCAAATGTCCGTAAACCGCCAGCTTGCTTGACCCCTTCTTAAATTAAAAAAGGACTAGTAGTGACTCCTCATGTCCTTTTCATTTCGGATTCAAGAAATACTTACGTGCAGCAAAAGAACGCCAGCCACGAAGCTGAGACCTTGGCAGTAGCCAACGTCCGGGTCTAGGAGGGAGTACGCCTTCAGTATGTTGTATAAAGCCAGCTGGCCTGGCCCCAGGGCAGCGGCGAAGTACGAGTGCTTCGGGAATGTGCGACCTATGGATGTAGAGATAAGGTCTATTTTTAAGATTTGAAAAACTTTTTGAAATAAAATTATGTTACAAATTAAATCAAATCAACGAAGTGGTAACGATGATAGTGGGTGATGAGAGTAGCGCACCCAGATCGATCATCATCGAATAGAAATGTAAAAGTGGTATCGATGTCATTGGATGGTGATGACGAGAGGAACGCACCCAGGTCGATGATGGTGAGAATGTAAAAGTGGTAACGATGATAGTGGGTGGTGGTCAGGAGCACACCCAAGTCGATGATGATACGAATGTAAAAGTGGTATCGATGTCATTGGGTGGTGATGACGAGAGGAACGCACCCAGATCGATGATGGTGAGAATGTAAAAGTGGTAACGATGATAGTGGGTGGTGGTCAGGAGCACACCCAAGTCGATGATGCTAAAAATGTAAAAGTGGTATCGATGTCATTGGGTGGTGGCGACGAGGGCAGCTCACCCAGGTCGATGAGGATCGCGTGCTGGTGCTTGGTGAGGCCGGCGAGCAGCGCGCGGTAGGGCGCGTGGTAGAGCGGGCACTGGCGCAGGTCGGGCGGGGGCGCGCGCGCGCTGGCCTGCTCCGCCAGGAAGTACCACACCGCGCCGCGGGACACGCGCGGGACGCCTGTGTCCCAATGGGCCCTCGCTGTTACTTTAAGGTTTTTTATGTGAAGAGCTGGCGGTTCACCTGACGTTAAGTGAATACCGCCGCTACACCCGAGGGTTGCAGATGCGTTGACAGCCTTTGGAATGTTGGTATTGGAACAACTCGTAACAAACGATATTATATCTGCCTGTATTCCAATTTCCCCTTCCTTTGATTTTGAGGTATTGACAAGACCATGTATGTACCCATAGACTGATTACTTCTGTGTATCTGATGATTTTCTTAACTTCTGTAATATAACTCTAATAAACTTAGTCTTCATGGCATGGTACCAAGAACATGACAGAATTGGGTTGCCATCTTGGTTGTGCTTGTGCCTGTTTATGGTGTTGTTACTAAATGGCCGTCAGCTTGGATGAGGTGTGGTGGGGACTGGTGGTGTGTATCAGTTTAATGTGTTGTAACTGACGGGACGCCAGCTTCGCTGAGGAGTGATCGGGCGTGCTATTGTTGTGTATCAATTTATGTTGTTACTAATGGGACGCCAGCTTGGCTGAGGTGTGGTGGGGTGTGGCATGTGGTGTGGTGGGGTGTGGCATGTGGTGTGGTGGGGTGTGGCATGTGGTGTGGTGGGGTGTGGCATGTGGTGTGTTGGGGTGTGGCATTTGGTGCGGTGGGTGGCGGTGGGAATGGACGGTGGCGGCGACCTCTGCGCACGGCCTGCGCCAGCATGTGGCGGTCGACGCGCGCCACCGGCTGCGAGGGCTCCCGCACCAACAGCCCGTCCCACATGAGCGCCACGCCGGCCTCGCACGCGCCCAGCTCCTCGTACTCCAGCTTGATGCGCCGCACCGCCGACGACTCCTCGCTCTCTGCAACGGACACCGCTCTAGAGTATTTTTTTATGGGAGAAGGAGGCAAACGAGCATGCGGGTCACCTGATGGCAAGTGATCACCGCTAACCATGGATATTTGCAACATCGCTTGGGTCGCAATTGGGTTGCCGGCCTTTAAGGTAGGAATAGGCTCTTTTGTAGAAGCAGCTGACGTTGCCCGAACGGGGGAACCCCCCGGAGCGGTACTCACGACAGTTCGGAAGACCGGAGACTGTCTATCGCGTTTGGTTTTGAATTATTACCGGGGCCGATCTTAAAGGCTGCTGTCAGTTGCAAGAATTGGATAGTGTCAAGGCCTTTCAGGTAACCGGTTAAAAGTGTTTTTTTTCCGTTTGGTATGTTACTACTCATTGGCATAAGATTGAGAATCCGATGGTTGAAAAAAGAGTTGTACTTTCGACGGTGAAGATTGACATTAAACATTCGAAATGTGTTGAGGTTATCTGCGCCGGTTACCTCTGAGCCTCGCGTTCTCCTTCTCCATCCTGACCAGGAGTATGGTCTGGTCGATGGCCATCTTCCACAGCTGACGCAGCTGCTGCTTGGTGCGGACGCCATGAGCTGGCTGCGGCCGACCCAGGAGCTCACCTGGAATGGAAACTCCTTAGTTGGATCATCACCTTCTGATATGTGGAATGAGTTGGGAGCGCCCATAGCCATAATAAGTTTGAAGTTCAGACTGGTATAAAAATCGCTGGGGTTAGCTTACGACTATGTTGTTTCGGTATATTTCAAATTTAGAACACGATTAACGATAAAATTAAAATAATTGAAAACAAAATAAAATAAAAATAGTTGAAAACTTCACCATGAAACTAAAACATGCCAGCAACTCATTATAATAACAAATGACTAATTCCTTATCGCGTCGGTACCAGAATGCTATTGCTGCATTAGAATCTGTTTTTATACTTTACTATTTATAGTTAACGTTCAATCTGGCCGTAAATCTGACCGTTAAAAATAAACACCAAAACGATTCACCATCATCAGAAGAGCATCATCATTTTCTTATAATCATCATTGGGCTATCGTAAGATTTTTGACGTCAACCCACCTTCCTGGACCTCCGGTGGTTGGATTGCCTTCTCGTAGATGGCTTGCCGCCAGGTGGCGTCAGAGTCGTTTCCACTTTCAGTCGCGGTGGGCCGCGAGTCGCTGACCTTCAGGAATCTGTCACACAAACAAGGAAACAATAAAAAGAACCGTACAGCAACGATAGTACATGTTGTGCAAAGAGCTCCTATTAAGTGAGGTAGCCGGAGCCCAATTTTCAAAAGGTTGTCAACGCATCTGTAACCCTCGGGTGTAGCAGATGTCCACGGGCGGCGGTATTCACTTAACATCAGGTGAACCGACTGCTCGTTTGGCAATTTTTCACATAAAAAAAAAGACACTATTGCAAACGTTGACTTGTTCATGACGATTCATAAAACCAGCAAGTGCTGGTGAACGGTTCCGTAACATTGTCTTTAAAAAACATGTACATCATGTCTGTTTTATGGGAGCCCCACTTAAATATTTTTTTTATTATGTTTTTCAGTATTTGTTGTTATAGCGGCAACAGACATACATCATCTGTGAAAAACTGTCTTACTATCACGGTTCATTAGATACAGCCTGGAGACATACAGCGGAGTCTTAGTAATAGGCTCTCGTTTTACTCTTTTGGTACGGAACCCTAAAAACTAATGTCAATATATAACTATACAGCAAAGGGCGGTAAGAGAGAAAGGGAAACCGATTCTGGCTGCGGTGTGAACGAGAGAGCAATACTCTTCTCGCATGTACATTATTTATTTATTTATTTAACACTAGATGCACAAAAAACCTTTGTACAAGTGAGGGCTTAATTCAAAGGGCATTTGAGACTGGTGCACAAATAAAAAAATTGTATAATTTGGGCTATCGTAAAGGCCCATTTACATGGTGCCAGTTTCTTGCCTGTTGTATACAATTAAATTGAAGCAATAAATGAGTTGCATGGTCTAAACAACACATGACATTCTTGACTCTTGAACAAGACTTGCTTCAAGTTTTGTTTCAAAACTTTCCTTGGTGTAAACAGCACACACAATAATTTCTTAAGCAATTCTTGTATTCAATTGCATTCTCTCTTCCTTTGCAAAAATTAGTGCAATGAGTGAGGGTGTTTAATCGTTGCTGTTTTTTTGAGGCAAGAAATATTGAGAAAAGGTCGTAAAAAAAGTTGGACAAAAAATGAATAATAATATATGGATAATAATAAATAAATCTCAATGAAATATATTAAATTGGCATAATCTAACTTGAACACTCATTATTGACCCATTTTTTAAAAAAAAACAGTCTTTTTCAAAACGCTCAATACTTGAATGAAAAAGTTGTCAACGCAAATACATGCAATACTTGAAGCAACACGCCAATAAATTGTACACGCACATACAAGCATGTGTTTAGACAAGTCAAAACTTGAAAGCAATAATCGCCTAAACATAATTACTTTGGTGTAAACAAAAGACATTTGCAATTGTTTCTTGTCAAGACTTGCATACAATAATCGCATTCAATTTTTTTTTACTATATCTGCGTGTAAACTGTTGCTTACAATTCTTGATGGTCAATTATTGCGCGCAATTTATTGCATTCAATTATTGCTTTTGTATGTACAAGAAAATGGCATCGTGTAAATGGGCCTTAACTTTCTGTTGTTGGAACTCACATATCCATCATGGGGGAGTTTGCTGGCGTCGGTTCCTCCTTGTCCTCGTCATTTACCTCTTCCGGTTCCTCCTCAACTGCTGGCGGTATTGAAGTCTTGGGTGACGCTGGTGGTTCTGGAAGGTAATGGAAAAGGCCCACGCAAAAATGCATATCATATAGAGCATCGATATAAAGACTTTCGTTTTCAACCCTTTTACTGTTGGTAGGGCCACGAAATAACAAAAAAAAATATTTCGAATGTATGTGAAGTCCGCCAATCCCTGATACCCTCTGTACAGAGGAGGCCTTTGCCCAGCAGTGGGACATGTATAGGCTGATTCTTTAGTTTACTTTTCAGGCAGGTCCATCCGGGGAAGTACCACGACCTCACAGAAGACCGGCGTGAAGTTGAAGTGCTATACTTCTGCGCGTCATCTGGTGAGTGAGGTAGCCGGGGCCCACTTTATTAAATGGTTCGCAACGCATCCGCAACCCTACGGATGTTGCAAATGTCCATGGGCGACGTTCACTTAACATCGGGTGAACCGCCAGCTCCCTTGCCACCTTCTCACATAAAATGAAAAAGAAATACTTTCGCATCATTTTCAATAGACGGATAAATTATTCTACCTACATCTCGAAATCGTCGTTGGCTAAGGGTCTGCTATTACTACGTGCAGTTGAGTGAGTGGTACCTCTTTCTGCGTGCATCGCTGGAGACAAGGACTTGGAGCTGCCTTCAGGGGGCGTCAGCTCCGGCTGAACCTCCGGGGAATCCCGGGGTGGAGCGGGGGGCGCCGGCGATGGCTCCTGCGAAATATTTATACATTTTTATAGGGATTTTAAAGAGTGCATTTAAACCAAGTAAACTATTGGTGTACGTACGATACCAGTAAGGATAAAGCGAAAAGTATTCTGATGGTTGACTTTTTTTTTGCAACATAAGTTCGCAAACGGTCATCACTTTCGCGCGATGATATGATGTAGTATGTTTGCTCAGCAGTTGGCTGATGGCCGATGGTTACACAACGGAATACAACAACAGAGCTTGCAGGCGCATGGCCAGCCTTTAAAGGGGCTCGGTCATCGGTTTACCATCCACAGAGGAACAAACATAGTTTTCCCTCGTATTCTTCCATACGTGTGTTAGTGAAATATGATTGGTGAATTATGTGGTGAAATGTGGTCGTCCGCTCACCTTCTTGGACGGTTGCGCCGCCAGCAGACCCTCGTCCCTGCTGGCCTTCCGCTTCAGGAGCTGGTCGAAGCCGCTGGACAGCGAGCGCTTCGCCTTCATGAATATCGTGCTGCCACCCAGGTACTGGTTTAGGAACTCCGACCTGGAAACGCCTGCTGTTAAGCCTTGCGAGGTATACGAGGTCTCTCTCATCTGATAATGATTTATTAGTATTGAACCAAAGCAAAAGATTTTTTTTATGGGAAAAGTTGCCAAACGAGCAGACGGTTCACCTGATGTTAAGTGAATACCGCCGCCCATAGACATCTGTTACACCCGAGGGTTTGCAGATGCGTTGACAACCTTCTTGGAAATTGGGCTCCGTCTGCCTCACTCACCAGACGAAACGGAAAGTATTTATCATACTTCCACTTTACGCCGATCTTCTGTGGGGTCGTGGTACTTACTCGAACGAGCCTGCCCATTCGTGCAACAGCCGAGGCTGCTGCGTGGCCCTATCACCGTAGTTGTTTTGATTTACATTAATATAAATTTACTGAATCCCCTCCTATTATGTAATCAATAAGACTCGGGAAGCTCCGACGTTGGCCTGAACACTTGACTTAGGTTCTGAACGGAACGCTTCGATTCTGAGGTCGGTTCTAATATTAATTTATTTAAAATAAAGGTGTATAAGTGTGTTATCATCATCATCATCATTTCAGCCTGTTTGAGTCCACTGCTGAACATAGGCCCCATAGACTTCCATGTGTGTAATAACATGTACTTTCTTATTTTAGTCAAATAACACTACTATGATTGGTTTGAGAGAGCGCAGCTTTACAAGAGGATGCGTTACGGGAAGTAGGTCCAATACGAGGTAAAACTTTGTTGAACATAATCAAACCTGACTATGTTATTGCCGTTTGGTGTTCAATACATTGTGTATGAATTTTCAGCTAACCTCACCGGAATTTTGGCGAGGAAACAGCTGTTACGCGACGCTAACGAAAAGAAGATAGAGTCAAAATCAATCAGAAATTGTTTAATCTTTATTTTATTCATCCCCTTTTAGTTTTCGCTAAAAGCAGAGAACGAAAATAGTTACTAACCTGTTCTCGGCCGTGTCGTGCACATGCCTCTGCTGTTTCCCTTCGCAATGGGCCCGCAACAGCATCATCAGGAAAGCGTTGTGCTCGTTAACCTGAAAACCTTTCATTTTTAGGGTTCCATTCCCAAAGCGTAAAACGGGAACCCTATTACTAAGACTCCGCTGTCTGTCTGGTCGTCTTTGTTCTGTCGTACATCATGACAAAGATGAGTATTTCTTCCGTCTTTAGAACGTGGCACGGAACTCTTCGCGCACGAGTCCGACTCGCACTTGGCTGGTTTGTCTTTCTAAAAAAGATATTACTCACTAAATAATCATCATTGCTTTCCACAATTTTTCAGAAGACTAATGCAATGACATGACAATAATATAGAAACAAATACCATTTAATGATGAGGAAAAACATTTAAATAGACAACGTTGATAGAGTAGTCAATGCATTGGAAAGGGTTCCAATTGCCATGTTGTTTTGTTCTGATGAACATGGAAGACCAAGATAGGTGTAAACGAATCTCGCTCTTCAGTCTTTTCGGATTAAAGTTTGCAAATCGGTTTTAGACTTTTTCATAAATGTCTCCTTTATTTAGAAAAAAAAGTTTTCTTCACAGTTTCACACAAATACGAGCCCTATTTACAAATGGCAATCGAAACCACAAACCCTGGAGCTTAAGCCTAAACTTTAGAAACTGCGGCACCAAGGTTACTCAAACAAATATCAAGATTCGAAATCCTGCTAGTTTGCCCTTTGGTCTTTTAAATGGCCTTAGAGGCTTTCAATACTTTCGATTTATGCGAAAAATGTCTTCCTGCACACCTCGTACATGTGGTTGGTGCCGCCCTGATACTTCGTGATGATGAGGTCCTGCTCATCCTCCGGCAGCTGCTCTATCCTGCGTAATATGAACGCGTGCGTCTTCTTCTCGTTCATTCCTATTAATGGAAAATTAAGAATTTAATAAATCTACTTATCGGTGTAAAAATTTAAACCCGAAGAGGTACAAAATTATATCTACTTTATGATATAGGCTTAAGACAAATAAATCGTTCATGTGTTTTATTACAATAATCTATATTCAATATAGAAGCATTACACTTATTTATTATAGTCAAAACACTACCACCGGTTCGCGAAATGAAAAGCCACTGAGAAGAACTGGCGAAAGAAACTAAGCGGATTTCTAGTTATTATAATAGTTAATTATTGAGCAGACATAATCCAAGACTGATATCAACACAAGCTCCTGTACAAAAATATTATATCCTTCTCATTCACCTTCTATGTCATGGCACAGTCTATGGTACCACAGCATTGGGCAATGCTCGCAGGTCATGTTCGGAGATTTCTCCCTAAAAATTTTCACCTTTCACCTGCGACTGCCTGTACAGGATCGTTGTCATATTTAGAACACTGTTTATCTTTTTTTCAATCACTTCTATCGACAATATTGCACTGGTGACACTTAATATATTGAAATACTTAATTTTTCTTAAATCAGATTTTTGTTTCGCCAGTTGTCGATTTTATTGCAACCGAACCGAATAGAACGTGATTTTAAACACAGAATTTGTTCTTAAGTCTCTGTCAGTATCAGTAGGTTATTGCAATGCGAACTGAAATGCTATGCACTTGAAGGTAATTAGCGACGTTTATTGTCAATTGACTTCTGAGCTTATTTCATGGGAAACTATTGTTACGTCCGTCGCTACAAGTATCTAAATATCTACGTCACTCCTTAGAACCGATATCTTCACGGCAGAAAATTTATAATTTTACATGTCTGCTGATTTGACTTACATTACGTACGGAAACGTACGAACTAAACTACAGAGTGATGGCTAGGCTTATATTTTACGTCGGTCTTATACGAGATCAAAGCACTTCTCCGGTCTACCCGGTACTTATACATTAACAAAAGAGGCATAGTAAATAATAAAATGTGATAGTTCTTTATTTACACAATAGGGATAGCGCACAAGAGATGAGTCAAGGCGATATATGCGACTGGGATGAGAAAAAGTTTGGGGAAAGTTGATCAAAACGGACGCAGGCAACTTTTTTTCTGAGAAAGAATTTCTTTTTATGTAAGAAATGCATCACGATTAATTATTTTTACAGGCGTTTCCGAAAAATAGAGTGGAAGTTATAAAATGTATTAAGGGTCCATATTTAACTGCTCCGTTTATCGTATACCTAGTTGAATTAAACATCAGAAACGATCGACTTTTTGGTCACCCTTGATTAAAATTTTTTTTAATCACATGATACATTGATATATAGCTTATAGGATAGCTTTACTACAATCCCATCGGATGGTAGATAGCAATTCAGCCGTTGATGGTAGGCGCGCTAATTCAGTGGAAACCTAATCAACACTTACATGGTAATCGATTAAACCAACAGAACGGTCACACTCACCACTCACGACTTCTGTAGCGACCGAGTCACTTTCGCACTTGAACACGTAGCATGCGTAGGTGTCGTTGGTCTCGCGGCAGACGAACCCGAAGTGGTCCTTGCTGGCCCGGCCCAGCACGCAGCTGGCCACGTCCTTGAAGGCGCGATGGAGCAGGATCTGCTTCCTGTCGGGGCTGATGAGCCTCAGTTCGGAGCGGCCCACCTGACGTGCAAATAGGCCTTTAGAAGCTCAACGAGGTTTGAAGACACGATTTATACAGAGACACTCTTATTCCCGTTCTCGGTAACTAATGTGTATTTTGTGACAAGTTGCCAAGCGAGCAGGCGGTTCACCTGATGTTAAGTGAATAACAACGCCCATGGAAATCTACTACAGCCGAAGGTTGCAGATGCGTTAACAACCTTTTGACCTCACCAGACGAAACGCGAAAGTATTATACTTCCACTTTACGCAGGCAGTTTTTTTGACACTCAAAGCGCGTTAGCTGGTGATTTCACAGCTTCTTGCGTCTATTTTCAAATGTGGTAATCCTTGCAGCAGCTTCTGCCATTCCCCAATGGTCAGACTCGCCCGAGGAAATATTTATTCTTTTGCGTTTAGTCTGGTTCTTAGGTGAGTGAGACACCTACCCAGAGACCACTTTTTCTAAGATTGGCGATGCATCTACAACGCACTTGGCGATAAATGATAACATTGTTAGAATAGGCTGCATATGAAATAAAAGAAATAATAGAAAAAAAATCAATCTAAGACAGTACAGTGATTAAAGGTAAAATGGAGGGCGATTGGTGAATCCCATTAGCGGACACTAATGAACGTGCCTTGCTTGCAAAAGTCACCTTCAAGATTGCGCTCACCTGAATTACCGTGTAGTCATTTAGCATCTTACCTGAAATAACATGGTCCGGTTTTGCTCCCCAATCAGCTGGGCCAGCGGGGTCTTCAGATTCAAGGTCCCAATGGATGCTGACCTGTCCCTCAAGAAAGGTTTGTTCTCTGGCATACTGTTCAGGTTTTCACCGCTTCCGTTCAGTTTTAATTCCAAAGGTTTTTGTACTCTTGCCGCATTCTTACCACTATCAATTTTATTGTCCTTAACAACTTTTGGTTCAAGTGGTGTTTGAGTAACAGTTTTTTCATCTAACGAGTTAGTTTGTATTGGTATGTTCAGTAAAGGATCTTTAGCGTCGTCTATTTTTGTATCACCAGGTGCTGCTTCTTTTATCTCATTGTGGAAGGGATTATGGTCTTTAACTATTCTAACAGACGAATCAGTTTCGTCTGACCTGTGAAGGAAATTCGTCTGACAGAACTGTGTTATAGAGGAGGCTGTTTCGGATATCACTGAATTGATATCATCATTCTTTTCCTCGTCCTCTCTAAGTACGCCTAAGTTTTTCGGCACGTTCAGCACAAGAACGGAAGGTTCCAGTACCTGGCCAGGCTTTCGGGTTTGAATGTTTTTTTCTATCCTTTCTTTTGTGAACATATCAAACTCTTGGTCTATCTCATGGCTTTCGCTTTTCACGAGCCGGTGGTCATTTTTCGACTGAAGGTTTTCAACGCTTTTCCAAGCGTGGTTTTTGTCGGGTTCCAGAGGTGTGGTACTTGTTATTAGGTTACTGTGCCTATTTTGAACACTTTCGCAGACAGTTTCAGTTTTCGTCTCGTCTTTTACGTTTTCTGATGAGTCCGCACTGTATAGTGACGTCTGAAAAAGAATCTTTATATGAATCTTATTAATAGTGTTGTCTGAGTGATATTGTGAAGTAACAAAATGTTTTTGTTTTTAGAAGTTTCACAGGAAATTAATGGAACTGTTGACGATGTGAGGAAGGTACCGACGGAGTCGTATTATCAAGATGTTAACTATTGTTATTGAAACAGATACTGTTTGTAAAAGTTTTTAAATATTATCTCGACCCGAATGGCGTAGTAGGTTCGATTCCCACTACTGAAAAAATACTGTGTGATGAACATAGTATTTTTCTGGTGTCAGGGTGATTATATATGTATAATATATATTTAAAAGAAAAGTATGTTTAAGTATGTTTATCAGTTATCTAGTACCCATAGTACAAGCGTTGCTTAGTTTAGTTAGGGACTAGAGAACGTCGTGTAACAATGTGTCCTCAAATATTTATTATTATCTTATTTCATAATTGACGGTAAGAACTGCTAACTACATTTCAGATTTTGCTCATGGGCACGCTACCTTGTGTACTCACCCCAGTGGAAGACAAGAGACTGTGCCGCCTCTGATTCTTGGCCTTTTCAGCTTCGTGTTGGGCGAACTTATTGAGGGCATCGTCGATCAAACTCTCTGGAACTTTCCTCTGTGAAATTCTAACTTTACCGATGTAGAGCACCTGAAATGTAAAAACGCAAGGAATGCTCCAGGCTTCAGGCTGTAGACATTGGTACATAACAATCAAATTTGTCCAATATTTTGAAAAATCATTTTGAAAAATCAATTGTTTCTCGCTATATTTCAGGTACGATACGAGTTAGGGACCTTCAAGCTGCGAGGGATTATTGTTTCTAAATAGCTAGCAACACTTGTTGGCTTTTGTGCGGACGGGCGGCGGTCATCATTTACCATAAGGGCATCCGCTTGCTAGTTTGCCTCCTACTTTATCAAAACTAATTTTGACTCCATACCTTACACCAAAGGGTGTTCGTTCGATCCCCAATACTGGGACTTCTTCTTCTAGAACAGTCTTCTTCTAGTGTATTCTGATGTCTAGTGGCTGTTTATATATCTATCTATTTATTTATTTAAAAAGAAAACTATGTTTAATTTGGTTTATAGCATTGCGTGACTTAAACCTGCCTTTAAGCCCCTTCCTGAGTACCTACTTAAGTAGTTCATTTTTATGCTGTGCGAAAATTATTAATCTACTAATTTCACACATGCTTAATAAACAAGAGTAAATAAACATACTATTCTTTGGCACTTAATTTAACTGTTCTTTGGCACCTAGAAATTCACAGCACAAAAATGGCAAATGGTGATGGTCAGGATTTCGTTTCATGCGTGCAATGCAAATGTAGCAAAAGTAACAAGGCAATTTCAGACCTAACCCTAACCTACCACTTCCAGATTTGATTTTCATTGTGTAATATTTTCTTAAGGCGGTTTGTTGTTGGTGTACTACAATTTTTTTTTTTAGTGTGAACATAGTTTAATATGAACCACTCAGAAAATCAATTAAATGAACATGAGAGTGGTGACAGTATCATAGTTGCCTCTACCAATTATGGAGATGGCCAAAATCGGAATCCTGAACTTTTACCCAATAAATCTAAAAGATTTTATACATCAACATAATTAATTTTTTTATATTATTTTTTTTTGTAATTTAAGAAATGAGGAAAAGAGAATGTGTAAAAATCTTTTGTGTAGATGTGTTTATTTTTTATTTTTATTTTATTTTTTTTTTTGTTACACCAACAAGATGAACACTAGATTTAGACAATTTATACGTAATATGCTAATATCGGGCTTGGTAAGTGCCATCTCAATTATAGGTGCAAACCACAATGCTTTAAATTTAACAACACAAAAACTTAAAACTATTTGTGAGAAAGAAACACTATATAAAAACATAAAAACTCAGTGAGTAAACGAAACTAGTGACTGCAATGAAGTTTGCAGCATCAATATTAACAAAATAAAAAAAAAAAATTAAAATACAGAATGTGTTACAAAACAAAGACTTAAAAAAAGTGTACTCTGTTGTGTGTAAGATTCCATGGCTGTTTAATCAAACATTTTCAATAAATTAGAAAGACGATGGGTTTATGTCATACGAGCTATAAAACATCATACGATACTCGTGACTTCGATAAGTCTGTTAATAAAAGGCGATTAGCGGCTTCGTTACGCCAGGGCGCTAATTTCATAACCTACGTCACACGTATCGTAATGTACAATATCAGTTACCATACTTAAAAGCATCCAAGCTTTGCTTAGCTGGGGATTGGATAAATTAGTTCACATGTCCTCATTAAAACTAATAGAGCAATACTTGCCTCGAAGAAATGTGAATCTGATGGTGACAGATCGGCGCAAAGCGAAGTGAGGGCGGATGCATTGCTGACGCTTCGTACCAAGCCCGAAGATTCATTAGTTCTGCAGAATAAGAGGAGTTAAGCACTTGGAACACATCAGCAGTTTATCAAGTACGTAACAGAGTAGGAACGTGATAATTCATCAACACATTCAAGAAGACCAAGGTTAAGCAACACGTCTACTATTTACGAAGTTAATCAAAGTAGATCTTTTCATCAACGTATACGTGGACCGTATATACCTATAGCCGTGATAACTCTGTGTCCAGGCGCTCGCCTTTAATTACATTTATTTGAGGAACCTGAGTTCGATCCCCGGTCCCAGCACCAATGAAATTGTTAATTTTAAGTCCTGAATTATCACGTGCTTTGCGGTGAAGGAAAACATCGTGAGGAAACCTGCATATTTTCGAAATACTAGTAAAAAAAATATTTCGAAAATATGTGAAGTCCGCCAATACGCAGTGGGTTCGCGTGGTGGACTATGCCCTGATACCCTCTTTTCAGAGGAGGCCTTTGCCCAGCAGTGGGACATTTATAGGCTGTAACTTTACTTTTTGGACCGCTATCTTTATAGAGGAACTAAAAGGTTAGGGTAGTGGCAGTGTAGTGGTGAAAACGTGTCGGAGTTTGGGATCTCGTATGCCTATTAAAACGTGTCAAATAGCTAGTTTTTATTGATTCCTTTCTAAAGGACCAAGTTGGTAACCATTATAGATATAACGTAGTAACGTCATAATCATTATAGATATAAGACCACAGATGTGGGCATCTATCGACTTCATTTGCACAAGTCATCCCTCTATCTAGTGGGAGTCGTCCTCCACTGCGATGGCCTGTACGAGGTTGCCACTCAAGAACCTTTTTTCCCCAACGGTTATCGGTTATACGAGATATATAGCCGGCCCATCATCACTTGGGCTTACTAATCTTCTGAGCTATGTCGGTTATGTTTCTTTTACTGCGGATGTCTTTGTTTCGAACTCTATCACGCAAGAAATACCTAGCATAGCTCGCTGAGCGACTTAGAGTTCCCTTATACAGCCTGCAGTACTACGTGTCAGTTCCTGCGTTTAACTAGCCAAAATAAAATGAAGGAAGAGTTTTGTATTTTAAGAATCAATGAGTAAATCGACTGAAACATCTGACTTTCGCATCGTCGATGACGAACGCCGTATTCTTTTGCCAAACACGTCGTAGCAATTACGCCGCTTTGCACAGCGAATTAATCGTCAATGTGACTAAAATAAACCGCGCGTCATTTGCTTTTATTACGTCAGAAGCACATTGTTTTCGTTGAAAATTCTCACATCTGACTGCTAGGGCCGTCGACCTCCAAGCTCAATCCATAATTTAAAATCAATAATAACGTTTCTTTAAAGTTATTGTCCATACTTCCTCTCCCACAGTGTAAAAGCATGAACAAAAGGAAACTGCCTCATGTATACCATAGACAGGTAGAATATCACCAGATCGTAATTTCGTTTCGAATCGACTCAGCAAATTTAAATCATTCACTTTATTCTTTCCAAACCTCTGGTTTACCAAAACTGAACCCAATATGCGTAAAATTTTTGCAGCATTATAACAAAGTTTTTACTTATCGGCTCGAAATTCAAAGCAAATAATAAAAGGGAAGGCTTTTGAGGAAATCTTCTTTGCTAAAATGTGACTCTGGCAATGGTCAGTGAGACTATAAACCAGGTTAAATCAAAACAAAAGCATAACTAAATCGAAAAGGTTCACAGTTAAAGAAAATTAGACATTAGGAGTAACGGGTTATTGTTTACCACCTTATTTCATAAAACGCTCCGCAGTATTTACTTTTTGATACCAGTAGCTGTTATTATTATAATAAAACAAAACTTTGACACGATGCTTCTTACATTTTGAAACTAAAACTCTTAAACTGCATCTAACTTGTTGAATGAAACCACTACATTAGATTCTTTATACCTCAAATCCTCGCAAACTTAACAAAGATTTAAAAACGAAGTAAAAACGCTATAATAAATTCACGTACGGCTCCCATAAGTAAAATCACTTTATCTATTGTTATGCACTCATTGAAGTTTCTGAGTGCGGCCGTAAGATATTAAGTATAATTACAGCTATCAAAATTACTACCGCTCTAGTATACATTGTTGAAGATAGGCGAGTTTGCGTTACGTCTACACTAACGAAAATAGACACACTACACAAAACATCAGTAGATAGTGTAAACAAAACAGAAACAAGGTCGTTTCGTAGCTCGACTTAGTATCTCTGGCGGTCAGTAGATTTATGGTATGATTAAGAAAGACGCAATTTAAGAGTTTTATTTTTGCGATGTAAACATCGCTTTAAGGTTTTGTTCTATTATCATAATACCAGCGGAGTGAGTTCATCAGCTCAGTGTCCTCTGATATCAATAATGCTTGTCTGCTAACTACTAGCAGTTCAACGAGAGTTATGGATACCGGCTGTTCTTTTTTCTATCGTCTCATCTAGATGCTAGAGAAAACAATAGCCCAAGTGACCAATGAGGACAAAACAAACGATTTCGTTTTATATATGAGATGGAATAAAACAACAGTCGTAGACGGTGGCGAAATTTCTCCCGTTCATATCTAAACTTAAACACGACTCGTACATTTCCACTCTAAAGGCGCGGCTATTTCAGGACCTGGATTCCAAAGACTTCCTTACGTTTAGCAATTTGTGTGTCTCCAACGACGCGACATTGGCCGCGCTCCAGACAAGAGCGACGAGCGAAGTCGAACGCATAGTGAGAAATTATTTTTTGAAGAAATTCTCTGTCGCACGTTTCTATACATAGGAATCATCCGATGGAGAACAAACTGGGTGGGCGTATTCACGACCCGCGAGATCCGCAATTGAGGCATCAGTTGCAATAGTTGTATAGGAAACGGGTTCCTACGGGGTCTCTGCGCATCATCTAAATAGTTGTCGATCAGTTGTCAAACCCTCACATGCATCGATTGGTTTTTCAATGAGTCACTGTGTAAATAAGTGTAATGATTTTCACTTAAAAAGAGCGAGTTGGCAAATGAACCAGCAACTTCGGCGGAGTTTAAACAATAGGCCACCAATTCCTTTATAACAGTGCAGCGAGGAATGATGATCGGATCTCTTTTATGCACTTTTCCTTATGGCCTATCCCTGCAGGGAATAGAGCGAACAGATACTTTGCATCTTTTCCGCTTTTGTGTTTTTGTAATTGAATCTATTCTTTCTCCTGCCTTTATCTTATCTTAGTGGGATCGGTACAGCATTTTAATCATTATGTTAGTGGTTATATTTTTCGAGGGGCCGGCTTCCTGGCGTAAAACAACCCTTAGGGTTGAACACCAAGATCCGAAACAATTAGTTCTGGGTCATACAAATATTTGCCCTCTGTTCAATTCATCGAGCGACCTCCGGTGCTGAAGCCAACAGGCCAACTGGGCATTCCATGATTCTCCTTGTTTTTAATCTTAGACTTCGCTGCGAAAATATGTAGCAATCACTTATGCATGTGAGAAATCAAATAAGTTTCCGTTCGAACTAGGATATATGACATTTGTGACGAAACTCGGCCACTGAGCTATCACTCACGTTGGCCGCCAACAAGAACAAGAACCGTTACACGAGTTAAAGTTGAAAACTTTTGACGTCTTGGCATACACATCGAGCGGACATTGAAATGTCGCCAAGCCGTTACGAGAATCGAGGAAACGATAAATTACGAAGAAACACTACTTTCTTGATGCCTGACAAAACGAAAGACTCTTTTTAAGTGTCACTTTATGTGTGATCACACTTTTGACTAGAAAAGAATATACTATAATTTGAACAGAAACTCGTGGACAAATCCTGTACTAATGTTATATAAGGTTGTACTCACAAGTTGGAATTACAATTTCCTGGCAGGGAAATAGCAGGGCTGCTCCAAGGTAGGTGTTCGGAGCCGTTTTGTTGCTGGAAGCCGATGTTTCTGGTGACAGCCCCGTTATTTAGGGACCCCGTGGACCCTCTCGGGCTGGGGGCCCCTGGGGAAGGTTCCCGCATTTGCGTGAAAAGGTCAGTCACCTGTAATAGAAAAAGAACCGAGTTTTAATCAAGAATCTGAATATTTTATAGACCCGTAATAATTGTTATCAAATAATGGCATATCTTTTTTACTTGTATCAGTGCTAATAGTACACCAGGTAATAGTACAATGAGGTCGATACAAAGTAATACCAATTGGTAAAAATTGTACGTATGATAAATCAGCACTCTAAATTAACAATCACATTGATGTCGGCACCGGGGATTGAACTCATAAAGCCGTAAATATGGTTTCATTTATCAACGTGTAATCGCGTAAATACAAGAAATTTTATGCTCGAGTATATTGAATTAAATGCGAGCGCTCGGACAATGAGTTATCACGGCGTATATAATTTAATTTATTAAGTCATGTTTTCTTACATTCACAGCCGCAATGTATACACACATGATTAGCATACCATAAGGGCGGAGTATGTAAATAATGCCTAGTGAAATAACGTAATTTCACTTGAATTTCATAACTCACTTAGGGTTCTCAACAAGCACGGATACTTCTCTGCGTAGAGTTCTTTCAGTCACCTATCGTGTAAGGAAGTCAACCCTTTTCAGAGAGTGTTTCAGTATCCAACAAACTATAATCAGTAAATCAGTTATCGTTTTTCTATTGTTATATCTTACACTGCACCTACCTAATCTTCTCTGTACCACCCTAAGGTTGACTGGGACATAATGCCTTTGGCATTAAGTCCGCCTTTGTGCTTTTAGTGCAGGATTAATAAATAATAAATAAATAATCTCCTAGAAGTCTTACAAAAAGCTGTATTTATAGTAGAGGTAGTCTAAGCGTTTTCAGATAGTAAATAAGGTGATAAATCAAGGCGTCACGTCGATATTAGTCTTTCCGGAGTGGTGAGCATTTCCAATTTAGCTTATTATCGTACCGCACTTCACAGTTGTGATCTCGTGTTCATCCATCGGGCAAGAGTCAGAAGGAAGTGCTCGATGCGTCAGCTGACGCAAAGCCACAAAACATCTGGGCAAACTCTGATCCTTGGCAGGGAATCCAATGAAGCATTGCGAATGCATCGGGCATAGATAAAACTGTACGTTACACGTGTAAATCTATTATTGACTGTCAGACTAGTGCAGTCTCTAGGCTGTAACATAACCGCTTGGATTCACATTAGAGAAAGTAATGTTTATCATTAACAGATTCTCTCTACTGACTCTTGTATGTGTGTTTATTTTTTGATGACACCGTGGCGCAGTTGCCAAGGTATTGCCTTCGGCGTCGTGGGTCGTGGGTTCGATTCCAACACGGAGCAGCTTTTTGTTAATACACAGATAAATGTTTTGGATATGGGTGTTTGTGTTCGTGATATTTACATATGTTAAACGTCTTTATAACACAAGGTAATGTTATCCTCCAGTAAGGGCAATGTTTTTAAAATAAAAACATTATTTATGCCATACATTGTATTAAGGAAAAAAAAAGGATATTTATCAAAAAAAATTATACACATTAATATTGACCCAACTGGACCAGAACAACTTTTATCAAAAAATGGTGTATATTTATTTGTTTTATCACAGCACTAATAAATGGTGCAAATCGGAATTATTTTACAGTTATTACATACATATAATTTCTAAATTACAAACGTCGTGTAGAAGAATAACTTTTTCTTTCGTTATTATCTTAAATTTTATTTTATTTTACCGGGCTAAGTTAAAATATATAACATACAATGTAATTAAGCTTAAAATACGTAATAAAACTGAAACATTTTCATAAACAAATATGGTATTTGAACTGAAATAAGAAGACCATAATTAAAGTTTACAGTAAAACCGATTAAGTATACCATAATATATTACTTTATTATACTTCATTCTAAAACTGAAGATGAAAAGTGAAAAAAGAATGCTGATAAATAAATTGTCGAAATAATAATATATTTGTTCATTTATAAAATCAATTGAGTCACCACAGGAAAACTTTCGTTTAGAACCCGGTCAGTCAATTTCATATAAAGAACCTTTTTATGGAATTAACAAAGCTTTGTCTCAAAAGGCTCTTAATGTGTCATAAACTTCAATGTATTATTTTTAATCTGGGCGGATTTTAATGATAAGTCGTGGGATCGATTCCAAATGGCCTGCATTATTGTAAGGTTTTTGGATATCATGTTTGAAATAATCTGGGACTAAACTACGCTTAGCAAAAATAAAAAGCCTTCTCTGTCCTATTTGAATTAAATTCGATGACTCCATTGCGAAGTTGCCGAGCTTCCCGGGATAACTATTTGTGTGACCCATAGATAATTGTTTTTTCTGTAATTGTAAAACCTCCTTACAACACAGGATAATATTATCGTAGGGCGAGGACAATGTATAAAAAAGAAAAAAAAAAAACAATTCAAAATTATAGCGAACGTTCGAATCGATATATCAAGTGAAATTGCATGTGGCCCAAAGTCTAAACTAGGGTAGCGGCGGTGGCCTACAAAGACTCACCTTGTTCCACATAGAGTAACTTAGGGACGTGCAAAACATCGTGAGTACTCCTAAAATATCGATATTGTGATATGTATTTGTTTGTTAACTTTCAACTAGGTATTAGTTCACTGGAACCCTATATTCATAGGCTACAAAATTTTTGTCGTTGTAAAATTGAACGTGACATATAAATAATTTTTTTAGTAACAAAAATTATAAAAGTTTTTTACCAGAAAAAGAACCTATTTCAAATAAAATTATGTACGTTCCATGCAATACAATGCATATTTATAATTAGATAGCAGCAATCGCGGTTGATTTCCTGTCAAAATTTCGAAGAGTTCCGTTGCTGTCTCCGAAAATCATCATCAGATCTATATGGGACCATTTCGAACTTAAACCCTTTCGAACAAAAAAAATATTTTACAAATCCGTCTATATGCGACGAAGTTATGCCCGAACATACATTAAAAAAATATAAACATTCGAATTGAAAGCCTCCTTTTTTTAAGTCGGTTATTACAAAATCAGCCTCAAATATATACGTTTACACTCACTATATACGTTTTCTATCTAATTTTGAGGTGTTCTGGTCTATCTGCGGAGTCCAAGGTCTATTCATCATCATCATTTCAGCCTTTTTGAGACCACTGCTAAACATAGGCCTCCCCCTGATTGCCACGAAGCACGATCCTGAGCTACCTGCATAAATCGACTTCCCGCACACGTGCACAGGTCGTCATTCCATCTATTGGGGGGTGGGGGAGGGGGGGGGGGGGGGGTCTTCCTGCGATAGCCAGTACGAGGCCACCACTCTTCTAACCCAACTGTTATCGGTTCTGCGGGCTATATGGCCGACCCATCGCCACTATAGCTTACACTAACCAAGGTCTATTGAATGAATGAAACTAATATAGGACCATATGGGAGCTAAATCGGACCCATTGCCAAATAGTTTTAACGGACTCGCGCACAATGGGTTCCGTACCATTATCGATAATAAACTATGTCGTGCCTAGCAATTGCCTCGCATTCGTTGTGTAGGAGCTCCCTTAAGTATTTTTTATTTTATTCTGTTTTTCAGTATTGTATTTCAGTGTTATACCAGCAACAGAAATATATCATCAATAATCTAACTTTTAAATTACACGTAAACCTTGTGAGTAATAGACTGCGAAAACTAATAGCTGCTTTTAAGAAATTGAGATATGATCTTGAATCTCATTTACTGAAATGTATTTATTTAGCCCTTTGTCAACCTTTAATAAATTACTGTATCACTATTTGGGGAGGCCTATACCTAAAACGAACCTGAATTGTGTATAAGTTGCACAACGAACAATTTTAAAGATTTGTACTTTCAAACCATATCTGTATCCTACAAATCTTTTCGACAATCACTGCGAGGTACTCTCCGTTAGGCAACTATTTATATTATCTGTTGTTTTAAAGAAGCACCTGGAAGCTCCAACCGACCACATGAGATTGAGTAAAAGGAGAAAAGATATTATATATCATCAGAACCGGCAAAATCGGACATTTTTTGCGCAGCGTTTTACAAATTCATTGGTACTTATCTTTATAAGAAATGTAGTAAATATATAACAATTAATACTTTGAACAAATATGACTGTAAACAAACATTAACTAAATACCTATATACACTTAATTATGAAGAAACTGAAGCTCTCATTACTACACATTAAACTCACACACAAACACACACACACACACACACACGCACGCACGCACGCACGCACGCACGCACACGCACGCACGCACGCACGCACGCACGCACGCACGCACACACACACACACACACACACACACACACACACACACACACACACACACACACACACACACACACACACACACACACACACACACACAATATTTCTTTTATTAATATGTCTCTTTTATTAATTCTTTTATTGAAATGGGGAATGGCGCCGAAAGCCGAAATACAGGTTCTCAAAACCTAGTTCGGCGATGGATGCTATTAATCTATTGTAGTCATTTGTAACATTATTATGTATTAGCACTAAGGTCAAAATTGTATAACTAAAAGGAAATAAGCTTATTATCATCTGTGAAAACTTCAACTGTCTAACTATCACGGTTCATGATGTACAGCCTGGTGACAGACGGACAGACAGAAAGACAGCGGAGTCTTAGTAATCCCGTTTTACCCCTTGGGTACGGCATCGGTGTTCTGAGGTAACAAACAAAAAAAAAGTGTGTGCGTGTAACCTTTACGCGCGACTGAAGTAAAACTTCTTTGGCGTTGACGGCATATATCACTGAAATGATTAAATATTTAGTAACGTCATAAGTATATGTCATATTTTAAAAATAAAATCTGAGTTACTCCCTAGTCGCGCCTAAAGAAGTTTTACTTCAAAAAAATCTGAGTTACTCCCTTTACGGAAATATCTATCAAACGTTATCCATACTACTGATCATAAGACGACGAATTAAAATATTCCTTAACTTTAGCTTTAAAAATAAATTTA